TGTGATTTTGTTCAGGAGTAATTGTTGGTACCCACAAGCGTCACATAAAAAACTGTTGACTTTTTGGTAAATTTTATTAAACAAGAAGTCAAAAATTAGTAATTGTCAACTTAAATTCAACAAAATATTACCAAAAGAATTTTTGGGCCGTTTGAGTACATACAAAATCTGCGAGTGGCATCAGGACGTCCACGTAAAATTTTTTTCGAAACGTTTTTTTTTCAAAGTAGCAACATAAAATTATTTTTAAAAAGTATGAAATGGTGTACTTCAAGTATTTTCTCGATGTAAGTCTACTCATATTATTGTTTAAGTGCAATATGGTTGTAATAGAGGCATTTAAAGATCAAAAAATTGATTGACCTTGACGAGTCGGGAGTAAAGCACTGCCTCATGTGCTTCGCGCTATAAGGCGTGCAATTGGACGTTAATATGATTTCACCTTATTTTTTAAGTATAGGAAAAAATTACCCTGATTAAAAAAAAGTATTGAAAAAATATGTAATTCAATACTTTTCACAAGCTGTATATCTATATATACATACAATATAGATATACAGTTGCATGGTTCAATACTTTTTTTAAATCAGGGTAAGTTAAAGCACAGTAAGGCAAGATGAACATAGAAAAGTTTTAGAAACAAAAAATTATTTGTGATCTTTAGAAAAAATAACAAGGTATAAGTTATTATTACGATGGGTAATTAAAACTACCAACTAGTTGATATTTTTCATATTTAACAGTATAGATTACTTTCTTGATATCAATATTTATGATACCAAAAATAAAAATAATCTGTATTATTTAAAACGAAAAATAATTGATCTTACCTCTAAGTTAGACGTTCAGCCCGCATCAACATAACATTTTAACATCTTATTTTTTTTTACATCTCAAAATATGGTTTCAATATAAACATGTTATTTCATTGATTTCCATTAATGTTTCTTTTTGAAAAATAAACACCTACATTGAGAATTGATTTGCTTATAATATTAATCATAGATATTAAATTGTTTATTTCATAAATAAAAATCTTTTAAATAATGTTATTATAATAGGTAATTACATATTATGTCGTTGACAACGTATTTTCATTCCGTTGTAATATTGTTTGAAGTTTTTTCAACTAAGTATTGCTCAATCGTAAATGATTTTGATTCAACATATACATCACAATGACGCTGAATTCAATTAACGTTAGATAATTTTTCAAGATTTTTCTTAAATACTAATTATTTCTTTATTTCGATTGTAGAAAGATAAAAAGAAAAAATAATTAATGCAATTTATTCAAATTTTCAAAATCATTATATCGAGGTTATAACGATACATATATATGCATAGATCAAATTATCTTAACAGCATCCTTGTACTTATATCAATTCGTTACACACTAATACTTTGTCTAATGAGTTAATATGTTGAATAAATTATTTTGGCTTTATTCTTTATTAATAATTACTTAACTCATGATGAAAAATAAACTCAAGCCTCCTCATCAGTGGATTACTTCTCGACGCTGATCCGCTAATTCCGCTTCAGATGTACGGAGAGATGTGTATTAAAATTAAAAATATATTAATACTGGGGGGTCATCTGAGTGATCTGAACAGAAATGTAGCCAATGTAATAATTGTAAAGGAATTCAAAAAGTAACTTGCTCTTTAACAAGTTATATACATTTAAGGGGGTATTCTGGTCTAGAAATTTGAAAAATTCGAATTATTTTTTTTCGCATATCTGCAAAGTTTAGACCCTTAACAATATATCCTTGAGTGGATTTTCAAAAATCCGAATTATTTTCGGAGATACCGTGGATTTTGTGACGCAGCTGCTTCTGCTTCTGCTTCTTCAATAGAGAGCAGAACAGCTCGATTAGCAGAAAGAACTTCGCAAAACATCGAGTAGGAAGTAGAAGAAGGCTCAATTTACGGATCTGGGATTCGCGATTAATCCAAAGTGAATATTAAATATTATTATGAGTTATTTTACTGAAATCGTTTCTAAAACTTTAAACGCGATTTTCTCGAAACTACTTTTTTTAAAGTGGTTGACATGATATATTAAGTTCTACCGCACCGATTCCTTTGAAATTAAGTGGGAATTTGCTTTATATATCTCTCTATCGCGTCTGCTACGGATTTCAAAAAATTTCAATTTGGAGTATTTTTAAAAAATTCGAAAAGGTCAAAAAAAAGGGTAAAAAAAAAATTGATATTTTATGTCGACGCCATTTTGGGAATTTTTTTTTTTTTTTTTACTATAGTCAACGCGATAGCGACATCTTTACAGATTGAGAATATCTCAAATTTTTTTGTTTCATATCACTACAAGGGCTGGAATCATGTCAACCAGAGGGCACCGTTTTTTTTGTAGCCCCCACTTCACCGCCCTGTAATTTGTCAAATTTATCATTTTTTTTTTTAATTTTTTTTTATATTCTTGAAATGTCAATAAACATCATAAAAAAAAACGGATAGTAAAAATGTTTTTCATTTTTTTTTTATGTTAGTTTGAAAAATGCCTAAAATTTAGGCTTCTAAATTTTAGAAGACCCCCTTAAGGGGGTATTCTGGTCTAGAAATTTAAAAAATTCGAATTATTTTTTTTCGCATATCTGCAAAGTTGTTTTTTTTTTTTTATATAAATGATTAACACATATGGCTGATTTACATTGGCTTTAAATCAGTTAGAAAGTTGTTATATTGACTGTAAGTAACTCAGTGGCATTCCAGGCGCATGATGTAGGGGTCATATCTGAGTGATCCGAACGGAAATGTAGCCAATGTAATTATTGTCAAGGAATTCAAAAAGTAACTTGCTCTTTAACAAGTTATATACATTTAATACTTCTTACATAACACTTAATGTATGTCAAATAATAGTAAATTCTATATGATAAAATACACACATTAAAACATTTAAATATCATATTTGTGAAAAAAATTAAACTGTAACCCATGAACTGTAACATTACAAAAGAACGACAATTGATCTGTCTTCTAAGTCTTTTAAGTCATAAGTAAGAAATTAGTTGTAAATTTTTTTAGGTATTAACTGGCGGTGGAGGAAATTTAAATTGTATAATCTAAATTCAAACACAACCTTTTTATTCTAAATAAGAATAATTCTTCTTGAAAATATTTATTGTTTTTATTTATTAAAATATTTAAATATTGATTACTAAAATAAAACAAAAAATCGCTTATTTAATGGGAAATTATTTATTTTTCTTTATAAAGTAATTTTTTGTTAATTCTATAAAATATTAAAATCAAACTGTTCTTTAATTTGTTTCAGCTTAAACTATTATTTATTTTTACACCTTCTCAACATTTATCAATGATTACGTTCTTGTCATATGAATATTATGAAACAAACAATTATTTTTTATATATATGTAACCTTTTTATTCTAAATAAGAATAATTTTTCTTGAAAATATTTATTGTTTTTATTTATTAAAATATTTAAATATTGATTACTAAAATAAAACAAAAAATCGCTTATTTAATGGGAAATTATTTATTTTTCTTTATAAAGTAATTTTTTGTTAATTCTATAAAATATTAAAATCAAACTGTTTTTTATTTGTTTCAACTTAAATTATTATTTATTTATACACTTTCTCAAAATTTATCGATATTAAAGGAACAAAAACATCTTTTTTTTTTTTTAATTTTTTAATATTTTTGAACTTACTAATTATTTCTGATATTCCTATATTTTTTTAACTTTAATCTAAGTTTAAACGAATTATATTTAAATAAATAATTTTTTCTTATGTTATTCTAATTACATATATATAAAAAATAATTGTTTGTTTTATAATATTCATATGACAAGAATGTAATTATTGATAAATGTTGAGAAGGTGTATAAATAAATAATAGTTTAAGCTGAAACAAGTTAAAGAACAGTTTGTTTTTAATATTTTATAGAATTAAAAAAAAAAAAATTACTTTATAAAGAAAAATAAATAATTTCCTATTAAATAAGCGATTTTTTGTTTTATTTTAGTAATCAATATTTATATATTTTAATAAATAAAAACAATAAATATTTTCAAGAAGAATTATTCTTATTTAGAATAAAAAGGTTGTGTTTGAATTTAGATTATATAATTTAAATTTCCTCCACCGCCAGTTACCTAAAAAAATTTACCTTACCGACAACTAATTTCTTACTTATGAGACTTAGAAGACTTAGAAGACAGATCAATTGTCGTTCTTTTGTAATGTTTCATGGGTTACAGTTTAATTTTTTTCATAAATATGATATCTAAATGTTTTAATGTGTGTATTTTATTATATAGAATTTACTATTATTTGACATACATTAAGTGTTATGTATGAAGTATTAAATGTATATAACTTGTTAGAGAGCAAGTTACTTTTTGAACTCCTTTACAATTATTACATTGGCTACATTTCCGTTCGGATCACTCAGATGACCCCAATACTGGAAATGTAAATTACGCGCTGTACGCGCGCGCTCTTACCCTAACAAATAAGGGATCTGGGCCCATTTTTTTCAATAATAAACTTAATTTAATGTAATCATGAATCTTATAATTTAGGATCCATTATTTCCATTATAAGTAGTTTCTTTTTTGTTCTTTCTTTTGATGCTTTTGTTTCCATCTCTCCTTTAGTAGGTAAGAAAGAATGTTATGGCATATATATATATATATATATTAGCAAGCGCTAGAAAGGTCTTCTAATTTGTGGTCGTCGATAAAGACAAATTTGAATTAATCTGGAAAGAAAAAAAAAAAAAAATAATAAAATAAAATATTATTCATTATAATGTGTATATAGAGAAAAAAAGTTTCACCGCGGATTATAAATCTTTTATACTACTTATCATATAATTATAAAAAAGTTTTTAAGTAAGTAAAATTTTTATTGATAATTAGATTTATTTACATTAAAAAATACTTTGTTTTGCTTTTATAGATACTGTGTATAGTTGGGATTTACATAATTAAGTATCAAAATGGCTATGACTAGACAGGCATTTCTTGCCATGAATAAAACTGGAAAAAAAGTAATAAAATACGTTCTTGGAGAATGTATGCCGACTGTGAAAGACAATGCTACGAAAATAAGAATTAAAAAACTAGGATTAGACACAAATCTCCTTATGGTATTTCACTAACATCAAAAAATTTTAATATTTTGTAGGTTATGCTACTGTTGTTTTTACGAATTATCTGTTTATTTTTTTTAGTATTTTAACGAATATGAATTTGTATATGCCTATGATCCATACAAGTTATGCAAAACTGGCGATACCGTTTTAATACAAAACTTACCAGAAAGAATGACACGTCTAATTACTCACAAAGTAATCGAAGTTGTTTATCCTTTGGGTGATATTACGGATCCATTAACAGGCAAAAAAGTAGTTAGTGGAAAATACAGGTCAGCTATAAAACATATTTATCAGAAAAATATAATTTCATTTATTTATATTACAATATTATCACTTATGTTTATAGAGATCAAATTCAAGAAGAAATAAAATTGTACGGCAAATTAAAAAGCAATTTCGATTACAACGAAGCTCCACCGCGAGGAAGCATGGAAGGTATTCGTGACTTTTCTCATAAAGAAAGTTACATCAAGTATTATGATGATCCAAATGATCCTCAGAATTATGCAGTTTAAACTTTGTATTCAATCCTGTTGAAAAATATATCAAATAAATTATCATCACGGCATTTGCAATTATTATAAAATTTATTAGCGAATGAACTAGGTGAAAATTCTTATTAATAACACAATTTTTCAGTCTTGTATCAATTAGTTTTGACTAATCAATACAATATTAAAACGCATTCTTACATTAATGAATGATTATATCAACTTTTATCAAAAATCTACACTCTCTGTATTTGAACATTAAAAAAATGAAATATTTATAATAATTAATAATGATACATGAAAAAATTTAATCAAAAAAAAAAAACAAACTAACAACTATCTTATCATTCAGACAAAAATTCTCTTTCTAACGCTGCTCCCATAGCATTCCATTCTCTATCATCTTCTTCTTCTGCTGGATCATCTATTTCTACTGAATCTTGTGATCCTTGATCTCCAAGATCTAAATCATCGGGCAAAGGTTCCCCTCTTCTAAAACGAATAACTGGATCTTCATCGTCGTCATCATCATTATCTTCATTTATATCATAATCTTTACCTTTGCCTTCTGAAGAATCACTCGAGCTATTTCGCTGAATTTTTTGGCGTTTTTTAGGTGATCCATAAAGTTCATCTGTCAATCAGAAAATATAATCAAGTACTTATAATTATAAATTTTTTAAAAATATAAATATTTACCGTTCAGATCAGATGAATTTTCACTTTCATCATCCATAACTGAATCTAATTCTTCTTTTCCATCTACAGCATAGCTATCTACTTCTACGTCCGACATATCATCATCAACTTCTTTATCCATAATATCGATTTCTTCTTGCGTGAATGACATTAAAGGATTTATACTATTTGCAAAACTATCAACAACTTCGCTTTCTTTTACTTCTACATGTTCTGGGCTACTACAATGTGGAGGTGGTACTCTGGATCCTCTTGCCTGTTAATAATTTATTTAATAGTAGTTAATATTTAAACTGGGTTAATAAACCTTTGATTTAAATTTAAAAATGTAAAAAATGAAATCGAAAAACTTTTAATTTGAAATAAGAATTTCGTTAAATAAAATTCTTAAAAATTAACTTTATGATTTAAGACTTATAGTAAAAGAATAGATGGGATTCATAAATTCTTATTGAAAATCCGTAAGTTTAACGTCAATATCAAACTTTTATATTGGTCAATTAATAAAAGCAAATTTTTTACAAGACTGATCAAAATAATAAAATGCTTACTTAATTATTGTGATCGAAAAAAAAGTCGTAAATAAATGTAATCATACCTGAGCTGTAAGAGGGAACAATCTCTCGTCAACGTGTTCCCAACGTTCAGCGCATGACCAAAGCCAATCTGGATTTACAATTTTAATGTTTGGATTTTTTTTAGCAGTGTTAGCTTTTGCAGTTCCAGGTTTAATGGCAACCAAGTGTGTTGTAGACTCTGTCAAATCCTGAAATTATAAATCACAATGAGATTATTTTTAATTTATTATAAAAGTACTTGATTGGTATATGCAAATAGATTAATGCAATCTAGTACCTGTGTTACTTTAGCTCCAAATGCTACTGCAACTTTATAAGCACGACTCTGTTCTAACTTATGATTCGTTGGTACTAATCCGCTGAATGTTAAACATAAACCTTCAAGAACACGAACTCTTACTTGCGGTATTATTTCTCTAAGTGGTTTACGGTCATTATTATCAATATTCTTATAAAATTCATTATGAACTCTTCGTAAAATATCTTCCAAATACAACAAATAATCATCATGATCATTATCCTCAATTTCGGTTTCATCGCTTTTTTTTACATCAGTCAATGGCACGTCCGAAGATTTTATTTCACCATCATTATTTTGATCTTTAGTTTTTGTTGTACTTTTATTATCAACATTTTCATTTGATTGTTTATCCTTGGAAGATTCAGAAGACACTGCAGTTTCACTAGTTTTATCAGATTCTTTACTGTCTTCTGGTGATTTAATAACTACACTATCAATTTCTTTCCTTCCTTCTTTTTTATCATCTTCAGGGGTCTCTTCGCTTACATTATCGTTAACACCATTTTCATTATTATTTTTATTAGTATTAATACTTTGTTCTTCAGTATCAAAGCTTCCGATTTCTTCTTCCGGACTTGACGATTGATCCGGTGGATCACGTTTCTCAAGACCAGGTGGGGCATGAATATCTCCAGTGTGACGGAAAAAATGATAAGGCTTAACTTGTACTAAATTACCACAACCCTGCCAGACATCTTCTCTATCATCAATAATGCAAACCAAGTCATCTCCACAAGGAAAAAGTGCTCTGCAAATGATAGGAATAATGTACATGATATAGAAAAAAATATATTACAATTCTTAAATCATCGACCATAACATTATATTTACTTCAAATTAGCAGTTTTTGATGCTGAATTAAAACACTCATCTCTAGAAAGTATTCGTTGAGAAAATAATTTTCCTTCTTTATCCAACAAAGCAGCAACAGTATGAGCATACTTTCTTGCTCCAAATGTACAAATATGCAACTCATACATTTTACTCATCTCTTGAAGAAAATGATTGGTACCGGGTCGTAATCTTGTATGATACCATGGTGAATTAGGGCCATACAATTGATAGTGAAAAACGTCCTTAAATAAAAAAATGTTTTTAGTTAATTATTATTTATTTTGTTTTTGCTGTAATTCGAAAATCAACATTAAGATCTATTATTAATCAATTTTTGTGTGTAAATAAAAAAACTTTATTTACACAAGACTAAAAATAATTTTTATCAAAGTAAAATTTTCTTGACAAAAAATCTTGACTTAATAATTAATTAATTACAGTCGAGTCTCGTTATGTCCTATATCCTATAAGTGTCTTTCTTATATTAACGGGAGTCTGGTTAAAAAAAAAAGAAAACAAACAGGACTCACAACGAGACTCAACTGTATACATTCAACTTGAAAAAGATTTTATTAATCAAAACATAATTAAGATATTTGACACTTGCAATTTTATTTCAATTAAAAAAATAAAATGTTTTCCAAAAAACCAATAATCTTAAAATGTATAATTCACTAATTATATTTATTAATTAATTGGAATTGGCTTTTTTTTTAATTAAAATAAAATTTCAAGTGTCAATAACTGAGTCTTTTACCTTGCTTCACATTAGATAAAATTTCTTTCAGAAAATATAAAAATATATTAAATAAAAATTTTAATGTTCAATATAATTTTTAGAACAAATTAATTTTTTATTTAATTATTCTCGTCATATTATTAAGTATATAATTTATATCAATAACTGCTTGACACTGGTACTTATCTGATTTTAATTTTCAATTGTCATTTAATTTTCAATTAAACATAGTAATTAAATAAATTACATAATCAAAAGCTTTAAATAAAGTCGTTTACAAGTGTAAATTTACTTTTTTTGAATACTCAAAGAGTATCATATTACATTATACTTAGTATCTTTATATGCCTGCAAATATTTGTGTGGGTAAACTCTTCAGAGTAAATTTCTATATTTCTTTATTATTTTTCAATTTCTTTATCATGAAACATTTAATTATTTTATTTTTAAGTGAAATATTCATTTACAACAATGGGTTAGTAAATATAATTTTTTCAATTTTACTAAATCGTTCCTCATCCTTTACAAAGCATTTATATTAAATAAATTTACTTTTCTTTATCAATATAATCAAACATTATCAAGTTATAATATAAATTATAAAAAAATAACTACAAAATTATTAACAATTTACTAATGACTTTTATATGCAAATTAAAATTTAATCTTCGATTTTTCTTCAACATAATAAATTAAGAAAAAAAAATACTTAATGCAATATAAGAAAATGTTGAGTTGAAGGAATCATGTATCTAATGTTTTATAAATAATATTTCAACTACAACAACAGGAAGAAATTTCTTTGGTTATAAATAATTTAAAAAAATACCTTCATTACGGCTGGAACTGTATCATTAGTAGTATGAACAATAGTTTGATCTAGATCAACAAGAAGTGCTAATTTTCTATCTTTCAACAACCTCTGTTCATCTTCTTTGCCTATTTTTTCAGCTAATTCTGGACAAACTTTAAGTTCAGGAATACTGTGGAGCATAGGTACGCTTGCTTCAGAAATAACTTTGTCCTTTCCATCTTTGTTCAATGTTTCATTTTGTAAATCAGCTCCACAACGACCACATAAGTCTTTAATGACCGTTGGATGTGTACATACTGTCATTAGGAATATCACCTGCCTGTAACACTAATAAGTTATGTTGACACTGAACCAATTGAATTAAATAATATCTAATAATCATGAATTAAATAATACATAGTAAAAAAATAATAATACCCGGGTTGTATTGTATCGCCTTCTTTGGCTAAAATTTGTGTGATGCGACCAGATTGTGTAGAACGATATTTTTCTTCCGAATTTTGAGTATCATCACCATTAGAATTAACAGGACAATACAAAAATAATACACTTCTAGCAGATATCATAGAGCCCGTAGCTACGCGCCACTTTTTTATTTTTCCAGGTTGTTCATTTCTTGGAAATACTATTTCTATACTAGCCATTTATTGCTACTGTTGTATATTTTAATGATACTTGATGATTTTTATTCAATTATTAGAATTTTTGTTTGCTAAAATATAACCTTGATTATTTAATGTACTGTATTATTACCGTTTTGCGTTTTTACGCGGGAGATGATATAAACACGCATTTACGACATCGATTCAGTTTATATAGCTTTATATGAGAACACTCAGCTCATGGCATAGGTTCAAGCTTCAACACATATGTATATATACATACCTACAAATATAATCAAGCACTCAGTGTGTTTATCTGTTGGTTCAAGACTATATATTCTACTACTATATATACATATTTTGAGCAGATGCAAAAATCACACTCACACACATTTACTTACTCGAATGAAACTACCAATCAGCTGACTCCAAAAAGTACCATCTGTTTTTAATGGTCGATGAATAAACACTAAGGCTTATTTTCAATATGTACGCGCCGTCGTGTATGTCGTGTAGTTCGTGTAGTGGTTGTATATCGGACATGTGATTTTTTTTATTAGGTATAGTTAAGTGCACATGTCTGTTGTAAATATGTATTTAAAATGTTGTCGGTTATTATTACTCGTTTTAGAAAAATAATTAGATTTAATAGTTTATTTGAGTTATTATTTTCATCTGAAATAAAGCTAATTAGTTTTATTATTTTAACTGTACTGTAAACATGATGTGAAGTTCTTTTGTGTTTAGATTAATATTTAATGCTGAAAATAGAGCGGCATATTACTCAAGTTAGTATAATATTGCAAGTAAAAGTTGATACAGATATGATTGTAGCAGACGTTCAAAAATTTTTTTTAAATTTATAAATAATTAACTTATTGTAAAAATAATCCTAAAAAAAAACTTGGAAATTTTTTCAAGTAAAACTTTTCCTGTAAATTTTTATGTTTTTTTTTTTTTTTTATTTTTACAATCATTGAGTTAAAAATATTTGAAAGTAGCTGTCGATCTGTTAATTTTACTCCAATAAAATTGATAACTTTCATGTACTGTTAATGAAATATATTTACAAAAATTAATTTATTTTTTAGGAATAGAGAATGTATGGTGAAGCAGCTAAGATAATGTACAGACCTCACTCATCAGCCAGTCATAAAATCCGACAACAATTTTGTTTATTACCTCTGGCGTCAATAGAAGCCGATGAAAATGACGATGGGATTGACATTTTACAAGGTAAATTATTTTACAATTTTATAACTATTAAAGAAAATGAATAAATAACTAATAATTAAAAATAAAAACTCCATGTCTAAGAAATTTAAAACTTGATGCGTTTTTTATTTATAATTGAAAAATTGTATCATATTTCCAGTGTATTATACTATAATTGATGTTAATTCAAAAAATGATTTCATCATTTTACAATGATTACTTGATTGTACTTGTTTATAGATCTCATCAAGAAGACTTGGTATATGTGGAGTATATCTGCGTTATTCAATTTCACTTGGAATAATGAACGAATATTGAAATTATACGGTAAAAGATTACGAGAGGAAATAGCATCAATGTTGCCTCACCACGATGTTGCTTATGAAGCGAAATTTACAGTTACTGAAAATAATACTACTCAGTTGAATGAAACTAATCCACCAGCAATCAAAGTATTTGATTTTTTAATTATTTTCATTTTTAATAAGTTGATACTTATTTGTATTAAATATTTTTGATACGTCAGTAAAAACTCCCATGAAATCACATAAGATTTATCTGGACCGAATGTTTAAGAATTAATATGCCGCAAAAACTTGAATTAAGTATGTAAGTCATAAAATTAAAATTGTGTTAAAATTTTTTCATTTTCTGAAATTTTAATTATTTATTTAACGCCAAGCGGCAATATGCAAAAGAATATTAAATTTATCAAATAAATTTAATCAAGTGATATTACATTACATGATGGTAAAGGGAGCAGATAAAATTGAAAAATTCTAAAATTCTTAGATATAATTTCAAGTACTAGGTGGGGAAATAGCAGAATTAAAAGAAAAGATTATTGTATTTATTTATGTTCTGATTAGATCAAGAGATGCTTTTTGGTGTTGTTGATGAAAGCGCTGTATGAACCTCCGTAGAAATCGATTTCACCTTGAAGGGAATTTACCAGAGTCGCTAGTCTAATTAGTTAATTACCAATAACTAAGAAAACATTGAAGCATAAGTGTCAAAAATTTTCTATTCAGCTTAGTTGTTTTTGCTAATCACATATATGTTATTCTCTGTAAGGACGTCTTAAATCTGTACAAAATTGTCCGACCAAATTATTTTTGATTTTATTAGAAAAAAAATTAACAAGCGCTCCAAAACTATCAGCTTAATGATAATAAATAAACAGCTAAATTAATTTTTGTTTTTTCGATATTTGTGTATCTTTTGCCATATAACATGACAGGGGACTGTTTGCAAGGGGACTGTTTTTTTTTTTTATCAAATTGAGAAAAATCAATCAAACTATTTCAATGCATTCAACTTTTCAAGTTCTCAATGAATGCTTACATTAATTAGAATAATATTAAGACTTATGGATCCAATTTTATAAATAAAAATAGTTGCCAGGGGACTGACTTTTGAAGTGGCCCAGACACATATTTCCAGCACAAACGGTGCTATAACACTAAATAAAATGGCGATAAAGCGCTAACAGCCCTATGGTTATTAACTTAATGCTAGTTAGATCCTTATAAACCTTACAAAAGGTAAAATAACACGCTGGATTTTTTTTTTTGGCTTTGAGCTTCTGGCAGGGGACTGTTCTTAAAATGCCTGGGACAAACTTTGTTTTAATGAATTTATTTTTGGATATTTCGTAAAAAATTTTTTTTAGTAACAAAATAACAATTTTTCCAATAAAAAAATGCCTGGGACAGCGAAAAACATCCTTACAGAGAATCACCCATATATATATTAATTCAATTGATAGATATTGATAGAAGTTAATACAATTTCATAGAAAAGCTTACTAATTTTTATCTGAAGACTTGCTAAGATTTCCTGGGAATTTTTTATCACGACTTAAAAAATATTGTTTTTTATTAAGTATAAATATAAAATTATTTTGTTTGGATTTCAGATTGAAGTATACATTAAAAAATTGACTGAAGAAGTATCAAGTTGTATTTACACCGGTATCTTAACATCCTGGGGGCCTCTAATTACCGATTTAGAGAATGAAAAATCGACTAACTTGCCACTTTTATTATGTCGTGGGAACAAAACTGCTATCAGAGCAGTTAATAAAACTTTAAACATAATGTTTGATTGTACAATAATACCACTTACAGCAACAGAAGAAGATTTGCAGTGGTTGGTACCGGGAATATTACATTCCAGTAAGGATAGTTCATCAAAAGGACAAGTTAAATTAGAATATAAGATTCCAAATACTTTAATTACAGATAGTATTAATGTTACTTGTGATGTAACAGCACTAAGTGGTCTGTGGAAGGCGTAAGTAACAAATAATATTGAATCTTTGAGTGAATTGAATTATCACTGATAATAATTTTACTTTGGTTGTAGAATTTGTGATAACTCAGACTATGAAAATGGATCAGAAGTTTTATTAGAAGAAGTAAAAAAATTTCATGAAATTCTATTTGGACAGGCATTAGTTGGTGCTGGTATACAACTCGGTCTTTTAAAATTATTCAGAATTACTTTTCCAACTTTTAAAGTAATGGATAACAGAGTAAGTTTTTTTGTAGCTACCAGCAATTATTCTAAGTATTTAATCAACTTAAATATTTTTACAGATTAACGTCAAAACAACAGATGTTCTTCACAAAATTTTGTTATATTTTAATGAAAAATCTGTTCAAATATTATACACTAATTTTGACTCGGTTACAAACTCAAGTGCTAATTCTTTAACAGAAAAGTTGAGTTAGTTAACCATGAAAACTAAATTAAATATAAGCTATAATTTATTATAAATAAAAATTGTAAATTATTTAAATAAATAAGTTAAGCTATTTTAATTAATTAACATTACTCTTCCTCACAATCTTCATTAACTGTCACATCCATCTGTAAAAAAAAAAAAAATGATTAATATTGTAATATTAAATAAAATAATATGTTTGTTATAAATGCTGTCTTACCTGTAATTCATTTGAACTTTCTAAGATTTTTTTCCTACAATTTTTAGAGAGAATATAATGCTCAAAGTCGAGGTATCCTTCTGGTTTTTTATCTAGTTCAGGAGGTACCGATATACCTAATACCTCAGATATCATGAAAGGTTTTAGCCAAGTTACAAGCGGTGAATGACCGTTCATGTAAAATCCTTTACGATGATAAAATAAAAATCCATCTAATGGAAGATTAGACGACAATTTGTGCACAAAATCTGATAAGTTTTCATTGCAAAAAATGTTTGGTAATGCCACAAAAGGATATTTATTAAATTTACTCTGCTCACTAAATTCTGGAGATTCTCCAAGTTTAGAACTGAGCCAGAAGTGGCGAAATTCAGCCTGAAAAAATTCATTGATAAATTAATTATCTATTAGCAGATTAATTATAAACAAAAAATGATATCATACATCACAATCTAATAGTGTTTGATTAGACCAACTTAAAACATCAAGAACATAATATGATTGGTCTTTTTTAACCCATATACAATCTAATATAGTGCTATTCTTACTGTGGTGTTCATAATTTCCTCCTGGTAACGCTGAATTAAATTCTATAATTTTATTTCCACGTCGTGTAAAGACTTGAGTTTTACCCTGTAATTTTTGAGATACGGTATGCATAAAAATATTGAAAACTACTGTTGTAAAATACTCATAAAGCAATAAACATACGTACTTTACGTGCAACAATTAAAGCTCGTTTTCCTTTTGGACAAGGTAACATAAACCATTCATCACAAAAATTTTCAGGTATATCAATCATCCATTCTGACAACATCAATGTATTTATATAAAGTTTATTTCGTTTCGAGCGATACTGGTAATCAATTGTCGCTGGTTCGTCACATTCACTTTCAGACAATAACACTTCTTCTAATATTGCACGAGCTGAATTCACTACAGCACTTCTGCTTCTAAAACAATAATGAAAGAAAATTAATTCAAGTATTTTTTAGAATAATCAATTTTCTGAACAATTGTTTGATTGATTTTAATCAATTTAAACTACGCAATGATTTATTTTAGATTTTTTGTAAAAAATAATTTAGTCTACTTCAACATCATTTATTGCAATAATTTTTTTTAAATTATTAATTACAACTAAAAACATATTTAAAATATTACTCTTTTTGTCGATTTAACAAGTCTCGTCTTCGATTTTCTTGATGTGAATAATCATAATCAGTGTCTAAATTGTAATTATCTTTTTTTACTGGTTTTTTATAAAATAATGAGCGACTATTTTTTTCATGAATATCATTCAATAAACCCGGTGATTGTGCCATTATTAGATTTACACAATATTTCTTGTGTCAACAGTTATTTAATTTAATTTTTCATTTACTGTGACAGTTAGAATATATAATTTTTTTATTTAGAATAATTTAATTTCCAAAACTGTGACAACTGTGACCACACGTTTTCATTGGAAACAACATCCTAGAGGTTAAGTCAGCTGAAAGAAAAAAAAAATAAATGTTTAAGTATGCATATCAGAAATTAATTAATGTATATTTTAAATCATTACTTACATTCTTTACTTTTAAAAAAAAAAAAGGAATAATAATTTATTATCGTAATTGCGAAGTAATTATTGTTCTTTCGAATTACTGTTTGACAACTTTTAATAGTTTTTATGTTTGAATTTCATTCGTCTGTTTATATATTATATTTATATGTTTTTACGATTTCAAGTTCTATTATACCGACCTAAAGGATTATTTCACCGCCGATGATGTTGTTTTAGAATTTTCAATATAAAATTCAAATGAGGCAGTAATTGTATCAATTATAATTATTGTAACTTGATTAACAATTTAATGATAAGAATATATTTCATTAATAAAAATCAATTTCTCAAGATGATCAAAGACTAAATTAATTAAAAAATTATGAACTAAGACCTTGAAAAAATGTAATTTTTTATTAATTAAACCCTCTTATAAAAATATATAAATATTTAATCTTTCATGTTTTTTTTACATATTAATAGATTCAAAATTGTTTATATTTTCATAAGAAATACTTATCTAATAAATAAATTTTTATTTATTAAAAGTAGGGTTGTATACGTTTTACTTTGAAAACTAGCTGTTCAACTATATATACTGAGTATTTTTACCTTAGCTGCAATTATTACTCGGTCATCTGGTCACCCTACACTACTGATATCTTAACCAAGCAGCTTGAGAGAATTCAAGACAAGCTATGTAAATATCTCTCGAATACATACACTGGTCGCGAGCTAATGCCTCCACTTCAGATGATCTTCGCAAGCACTTCAAATTAAACAATTTGATTAATCGTCGTCAGGTCGCCGACATGGCTTTTTTTTACAAAGTGGTCAATGGAATCATTGCAGCAGCTTCGAATTTGCGCCTGCCAACATAATGTTGAGGCGCAAAAGGTTACTGAAAACTACTAATAAGTCTTCAAAAAACTATGTGGTGAATGGACCTCATGACAGAATAGTAAACCTAGTGAACAAATTAAATGGCGAAGTGGAATTTTACGGTGGTACTTTCAGTGCTTTTATGTCAAACATTAAAAAACTAACACAAAGTTTTCTTTTTCTCGTCCTTTGCTTCGATTTAAATAATAATTTAATTTACTTTAATTTATATTAATTAATTTTGAATAATTTCTTTATGTATATTGCCGATAGGCGTATGTTGATTAATAAATAAATAAATTACTAATAGTCTTGGTCTTGGGAAGAAAATAAACAGGCTTTATTACAGTGAAGACCGGGAGATCTTCGGTCAAGAAATTTGTTCGCTACCAATTGGGTAAAACTACTCTAAAATTTCAATATTCAATTCTACAGATTAAATTAATATCCATATGCTAGCTTAACACATTAAATTTCATATTGAATAAAATTTTATTCCCGATATTTTAATTATCATTTTAGCCGCTTTTAACAGGGAATAATATATAATTATTTAAAGCAAAGTGTACATTATTTTTCAATTTAAGTCCAGATTTTAACATTCTTCGATATGATGTTCTTATTTGGAAAAATTTTCTCTTTAATTAAGTCAATTTTGTTATGAGTTTCGGAGAAGAAGTAAGCAAACTGTTATAACAGTAGCTTCTTGCTTTATATCCACTTATGGGGAGAAGATTCTTTAAGGTCTTACGACGCCACGATTTAAATGCAGATTTGTACAAATCTCGAAGAAATAATACGAAAAATAAAAATAAAATTTTTCGATATCTTGCACAGTCTTCGAGATATCAATAATAAAATATCTAAAAAAAAAAGAAAATTTTATTTTTGAATATTTTTCCCTGAAAATGGTTTTGAAAAAAAAAAGTGCCATTTAGCAGCCCAAATAGAAATAGATTTGTGATTCAAATAAAATAATAACACTGATAATTTAGATACGCCAATCAATTTCACAGAATCTCCTTTAAGTTAAAGTAATATAACGTAGAAATATTTAATCTATGACTCAAAATTATTTTGTCTTAATTTAAGGCAGCGAAACTCTTCAAAACGGTTTTTTGGTTCAAACGTTTATCTTCTGGATCAAGTTAATTTTTTTTTTCACTGTATCTATTCATTTTTTAGCTTAAGGATAATCCGTATATACTAATGCTGATTAAACATCCAAAAATAATGTAAAAATAAATGTTAATTTTTTGGAGAAATATGCATCTATCTATGATATTTCAGAATCTTCAATTGAAGATTTAATACATTTTAGAAAAAAACAAATTAGTAAAACGCTTGACCCTCCAGGCCATATATCTCTGTAACTTCCCGCTAATTAGGTAGATTTCATATAGAAATCAATCTTTTGCATTGGTCCTCATGTCGGAATTTACTCGGAATTTTGTTGTAATATCACTTAACTAGTTGAGTAAAGCTAAAAAATAACGTTAGTTAAAAAATTTATATATATATATGTACAAACAACTATAGTTTAATAGTTATAATAACATTTTTTTTACACAAATTTTATTGAACAAAGAAACTCAACATGAAAAATCAATAATAATATTTTTGATAATTTTTTATAATTATGTTGAAATTTTATTTTATTTTTTTTTTTTTTTGACAAGTAAATTATTTCAAAAATTATGAATAATAATGATAGTAATTTTGCTCTCAATCCTAATTTATAATTTAATTTCATTAAAATTTTTAAATAAAAAAAAAAACCCTCCAAGTTAATCTATACAAATCAATAACAATACTTTCAATCTCATTCTTATTACTTCTCACTACTTTTTAACTTCTTCCTTCTACTCCTCATTGCTCACTGCTTACTAACCATCACTCCTTCTTTTCAGAAGAAACTCCAAGGTTACAGAGGGGTTGGCGTGCCATCTGTGCGTCTAAATCCAAATCTTTCTTACTAAACGGCATGAAATTCACCGATTGATTATGACCACCTGAACAACTAGCAGTAGCAGCTTCCTTATCATCCTTGGATTCTTTAGTCGACAAATTCTTCATCGCTGCTACAATATCTTCTTCTTCTTCATTAGCTAGTGCTAGTCCAGTTGCTCGGTACAGACAAGTAATTATCTGATTAACTCTTAATGGTCCAATTTGTGCAGGATCGATTGGTCTGATGGTATTTTCTCCTCCTTCCAGATTTGCATTCGCCACATTAGCTGATTTTTTCCCTTTAGCGCCATCAGCTGATCCTGGACCACTATCTTGGGAACCCTCGGCATAAACGCCATCTGGTTCAACCTTAGATTCTTCATCAACTTTAACAACTTCGATGATTTCTGCATCAGAACTGATCTTCTTACTATCACTGCTGTCGTCATCACTGCAACTTTTTTCACACTTGACACCACTTCTTTCCCTCAGGTATTTTTTAGTCGATTTGATTTCCTGCTCGGTCAGCTTCGTAGTAGTCATCGCTTCTTTAAGGTATCCCAGAATCTTGAAGGAATTCACCGGGTCGCCGATGTAGTAGCTCCTCTGCCAGAACTCCAATTCTATTTGGTGTATGTTCTTCACGAAGATTTTGTGAACCCAGACACGCCAAGAACGCTTTACTGGCTCATCGGATCCTTGAAGAGATTTGCAGAAGGCAATCCAGGTGTCGTTCTTGCCTTTTGGACTCGCGCTCACCAGGTCAGAGATATAGTGGTGGTACAACATCTGGAATGGACAGCTCACGGCGATTGCTAGCACGAAGTCTTCTGTTGTTATTGGTTTTAATTTTGAGGAAGACATATTGGTAGGTGATGTTCTTATTAAATTACAGAGTCCAAATTATACTCAACAAAGACCCAAAGATATTGTTAAGCTTGGCACCAAATTGTGGTAAAAATTATACAGAACAACGTTTAAAAAATAATTCACAATGATGGTCGAAAAAAGCTGTCAAAATAACACTTCAACAATTTTGGAAAAATTAAATAAAACTGATGCACACAAAATATAAAAAATTTTATAAAAATATTAAGGATAAATAACATAAAAATTATCCGTGAGAGTGATGCCCTAGTTATTGAAAACTGAAGTGAAGGAAAAAAAATGAATCATATTGTTAGGACAAATTTTACCAAACACGATTGAACACCAAGAAGATTTCAAAGAAACTAAGTTTAAGTATATGAAAAAGTAATCGTTTGGCAAATAAAAATGGCAGTCTTATAGTTGAAGTGGGGGTTGAAAAATTTAAAGTGCAGAGTATGAGTAAGTAATAGTAAAATTGATGATGAATGACACATAACTCAAGTGAAGATACTTTAAGTAAACTGGAAATTTAAATTATCCCAAGGTAGTATAATAAATAAATATTACCTGGGTCAGATGGTTGAAATTTTTATATTACTAGGGTAATCAGCATTGAGAATCCAGGTACAAGTTTTTGTTACAAGAATTGTGAAAAGGAATTGACAGTTTATATGACTCAATGGACAATTATTGTTAGTAAATATTGTATAAGTAGTATAGTATTTCATAGAAACTTAAGTATAATATATTGCAAGTATATTCGAAGATTGTAAATAACTAGGGTAAATATTTGATTTATGATTCTACGCTGAGGTAAAAAAATTATTTTACTGTTACAATATAGCTACAATTTTGAAAATGGAATGAATAATAATAGAAATAATTAGCAACAAATATTAATTTAGCTTTGTTAATATCTTATAAGCTACTATGATGTTGCTGAGTACTATTATCTGACATTGCACTGAGTATAACGTAGTTATTACTGGATGCTATTTAGATAATACTTAGTACTAGCTGAAATTTTTTTTCACTACTGATATCACTTAGTACTATCTGGCTTAATAGCCAGTACTATCTTATTCTCTTCATGTACTTAGCTTAGAAGTAGAAAAAACAAAAGTTTTTTTTCTATATAATCTCAAATATCTTTTTTACAACGGACAAAAGTTCATTTCTATATTTATAACAGCTTTCGAAATATTTTAAAAAAATAAATATTTTTTAGCTTTTTTTTTTTTTTTTTTTGGCAAATCTTCGTTTTCTGGTAAAAGAAAACTTTTGATCAAATTTCGACCAAATTGAAAGGGATCGATTCCAATTTTTATCCCTGCAGTTTTCAGGCATGTGAAGTATACTGGTATGAACATACCGATAGGTTACTCTCAAATGTACTAAATTCTGTTGCTGTTATATTACCCATTTGAATAATAATATGCCAAGTTTTATATTTCAATTAGAATCCTAAAATATAAAATCCATGACTGAACTGATCGATCAGTTTAGTATCGACGCTTATCGAAAAAATGAACCTTGATTATTGAAAGGTCGAGTTATCGCAATAGTATAGTGTGTGCCAAGGGATGAATCAAAACGATTTCAGATGATGGAGAGGGGATGCAACAAAACCATCAAGAATATTTTAGTCAGAATACAAAATAAGATTATAAATTTATTTTCTAATGAGAGTACTATACTGGTAATAAATGATACTTTCATTCTAGAGGTCGCATGTTATCATTATATGAATTGTACGTTAATGTATGATAGACTTAATGGTATCACTAAAAATAAAATCATTGCGCTACCGAAAGTCAATAAAGAAATAGCTTTCAAAAACCCCTCTAGAATCAAATAGAATTTTATTTGTATCTCAGTAAGTGTTTTATAAAATTCAAATTTTAGGATTTCTATTAATTTTTCCTTTGATAGTTTGCCTTCTAGATCGTTTACCCACTTGGTTCTTGCTTGCTGCCCTCTTGAACTCATTTTTCCTTTAATTCCTCACAGTTTAGTTTATGTTCTGGTATTTCATTTTTTTTTCTTGCATAATTTTACACTCCCAATTACTTTGGCCTTTTTTCCGCTTCTCCACAGGTTTCTGCATCTCATTCTAGCCCATATCTCTTTAGCTTCGCTTTTTATTTTGTCATTTTTCCAATAGTTGTTTTCGCTTTCCCAGATTATTTCTTTATAAATTTCGCTATATTTTGACTTCTCTATTTGTTACTTTTCTTTTTTCTCTAATCCCTTTTTATAGTTTTCCAATCCATCTCTTACTTTTGCTTTCACTTCTTCTATGTTATTTCCCCCTTAACAGATTACACCTTATTTTCATTTTTTTTCTTTCTTTTTGCATACAGTACTGTTTATGTGTTATTACAGTTTTTATTTATTTTTATTTTTTCCCACTATATTTATTTTATATTTATACTTTTATTATTTCGATTAACAAAAATGAAAATATGTAACATAGAATAAGCCTTTAACTAGACGTATGCCCAGGTAAATTTTCATCTCTATAGGTAGATACTTTGCATATAATTTATGTATATCTCTGTATATTCTGGTAAATGAAAACCAAAAATAAAATTAAAAAAATAATTATGTTAAAGTAAGTTAAAATTATATATTATATTAAATAAGGTTTAATTGCAAATTTCTCTTAAATATTTAATTCTATTTTTGTTTATGGTAAAAGTTACCATTTTGCATTTATACTTTATAAAAATTTTACTTAAATAATGGTTAACAAGAAAACTTTTTGATTAAATTTTTTATTATGCTTTTTATATTTTTTTTATTTTATCACAAATATCCTTTAGCTAGGTCTTATTACCTGCCGGTAACTATTACTGAATTTCAATTCATAAAGTATATAAAAAGTATGACAACATAAGATTAAAATAACAATAAATATAAACCTTGGTAGGTAATAAATTTTGACATCGATGTATTCTATTACATTATGGAATCAACGATAATACCATATTAGTTTGACGTAATCTTACGTATAGTATTTTAAATCGATCTTCTGACGTATTTGAAACAAAGTATAGTGAACAATAATATGAGGATGCAAAATCACCATTATGAATCTTTTTTATCTTCAAAATTCTTTTCATCTTTTGAAGGGGCTTTTTCAGTAGTATTCTCAGTAGTATTCTCAATAGCTTCTTTGATTTTTTTACGCAAACTTTGGAAATCCTCATCATTTTCTGGCTTCAACGTTATTATGACTGAGAAATGAGAGTCTGCAAAAGAAACAATAACTAATATTGAATCATGTTTAATAATTATGGTGACGAAAATAATCTGTGATACATACTTTCAGTCTTCATCCGAATTTGTTTGGTCTCTGAAAAAATTGTAGCTGTAATGTCTTTTGCTTCGTAGCCTGAACCCAATTTAGGTCCTTCTTTATTGTAAACTAGGCAAAATGATCTGAAAAGTTTAGATTTTATGAAAAATTTGTTTTTCTTTGTTTCAAACAATGAAACAAAACTGAAAAGTAGTGGAACTTGCGAGCTAGCTTTGAAATTCCCCGTTATTTTTGAAGATTTTTTGTACTGCAATATATCTTTTGAACTCATCGTTTGATTTTGATTTTCTTAATGGCCTTTGCAGTAGTATATTTAAACACAAAAAGTATATACGAGGTTTTGAGTTGATCAGTAAAAGAATTTGTAAGTTACTTAAAAAAATTTATGATAAAATTTTTTTTCGGTCTTTTTTTTTGCATTATAAAAAGTTTTGCGTCATTGCATCAAAAAAAATATGTCTTAAATGTTTAACACAAATTTTTTTTGTTGATTTAAGAAGATTAACACAAAAAAGTATTAAAATTTATACACATAAAAATGTTAAATATTTAACTAGAAAATTTTTAACACAAAATTTATAGACGCAAAATTTTTCACTACATGTAATTTCTTTGAGACTACACGGACAGAAATTTATAGGAATCTTTCCAACAATTATGGGAATGGATCCTATAATAAAATTATCATTATAGGCATTAATCCTATACTCATTATGGGAACCATACCCATAATTTATTGGAAACGTTCCTATACAATAATGGAATAGCTTCAATATATTATGGGAATGGTTTTTATAATATTATGGGAATGGTTCCTATAATATTATGGGAATGACGCACATAATAATAGAAAAAAGTTTATTTTCTTAATAATGAAGCAATCACTTCAAACATATAAAGTAATTATTATGTATTTTTTTGCTAATAAATTATTTTTTTGTATATAAAAATTGATCTTTCACCAGAGTGAAAAAATTTCTTTTTCATAATTTTTATTCACGTCTATGTACTTAATCTTGAATTATTTATTCCAGCTCAGTTATTATTGTGTTAAATAATATTGAAAAATATTGTAAATTATTTATTTAACAATACATACGCTGAGCCGCGAAAACATTTGAAAATTTGGAATTTCAAAACAATTGGAAATTTTATTTTATTTAAGAAATTTTTTTTTTCTAGTAGAAATTTTTTTTTTAATTAACTTTTTTTTTTAATTAATTTTATTTTAATTTACAAGCATATACCATTCAAGATTAAAAAAATATCAACTGCTGCAACTGATTAATTTCATAATGATAATAATAATAAATATTATTACTGATATAACTTTTTTTATCAATTTATATATTATAAAAAAAGAATCACTTTATAAAAAAAAATAAATCTAGGGAAAAGTAATTAATTAAATACCACAGTTGTGTGAACAAAAATTACTCCAATATTATTGGCATCATTCCTATAATATTATGGGAATGGTTCCCATAATATTATAGGAATGGTTCCTATAATATTATGGAAACTATTCCTATAATATTATGGAAACTATTCCTATATATTATAGGAACTATTCCTATATATTATGGGAATCATGCCGATATTACAGTTATAATTATAGGTATCGTTCCTATAACTATAGGAACCATTCCCATAATTATAGTAACGTTTCCCAAAAATTATGGGTATAATTCCCACAATTTAAGTAATCGCTCCTAAAATGGTATAGGAAAATATTTCATTAAAATTATAGGAATGATTTCCACATTTTTCTCTCCGTGTACTTAACGGATTAACTTTTCAATATGATCAGATCTATCTCGATGATCTTTTTGAAATGCTGTGTCGGGCGTCTCAATTGGCTGATTTGTTTTTGAGATTTCATACGACAAAAGTTTATCAACATGCATTACACAGACGCACTCACACAAGACTGCACGCCCAGCCAGAAGTAATCAAAACGATTTTTTATAGGACTGCAAATACAGGAAGATTCGAAGAAAACTCGATTTTCAGAAATCAAGGTGATATAAATAATTTCTTATATTCGAAAATTATTAATTTTCATTGCAGGAAGTTAAAAAAATGGCTTAACAATTAAATGGTTCATGAATGTATACTTTAGCTTACTCTTCAGGGAAATAAATTGTTGCTACTCCAGATATTGACCCCGACTTGTAATCTAATACTTTTCTATCAAATTTGATATTTTCTGCTGTAGGTGAGATTCCTTCAGGTAACTCCAAAACAGGAAATTCTTCCACTACTGGATCTGGAATTATTAAAAAAATTAAAAATTAACTTTGCTTTTTACCCATAAATCTTCGATTTCGTTAAAACTATTATATTAATCTGATACTCACTTTTTGCTAATTTAATACCGTTTTTCAATGTTTTGTATGCTGTCTTTGCCTTAACGTGAAGCATCATCCTGATCATATAGGAGCAATCTACGAAAAATTGAGATAATTATAACTTAAAACCATTATGATCAGTGTAATTGTATAAAATCAAAAAAATCTGTTTCATACCTTCGCTTGACAATAGCATGAAAATAACATCGTTCTCATATGATATCTGGCTAATATCACTCAAATAGAAATCGAAACCGTTTTCTTCGTCATTTTTAATCCATACTGTCAAGCTAAATAAATATTGAGTATTGCATTATTAAAAAAAATTTATTTCTCAATAAACAAGAAATAAATAATCGAAATTATTATAAAGTGTTAGCTTATTACTCTGTAGTAATATAAAGTGTGCCTGTTCCAAATTCATTATCGTTGTATTCCTCATTCGATTTGATTTTCTTTTGGAATAAACTGTGACATTATGATAAATCTCGTTCATAGGGAATTCGGTTGGAACTCTCGCAAGAACTAAACCAGCCATAGTTGGAACTATGAATGCAAAAATTTATATTAAATTTATGTAGTTTAAAATTTAATAATTGTCTAATAGTAGGATTAATAAACGATTTATGATAAAAATTAGTGTAAATAACTATCGATTCTCATAGATATAAATCATAAATATGAAATAAAAAACCAGAAATTAACTTACAAGGTATTAATCACGTCACTTGGAACTACTGATAGTAAAGTTCTATTCTATTGTGAGGAATTACCATTATATACTTGCGGACATTGACAAAATCTTCATTGATATCTGATGATGAGTGTTCTATTTTGATAAACTAGAAAATAGTTTGATTTAGAGTAACGAGCATTGAATTTTATCCATAATTAATGTTCTAATCTCAATGATATTGTATTCAATATTCACAATAACAATGATAAAATTATAACCTAATTATAAATAAACTTTAAATTAGGTTTAAACGATCTTTCAATCATTAGACGGTTTTTATCATTGTTATTGTGACTATTGGGACATTATTAGGACATTAATTATGGATAAAATTCAATGCTCGTTACTATAGATCAGATTATTTTCTAGTTTATCAAAATAGAACACTAATCATCAGTTTTCAATGATGATTTTGTTGATATCCACAAGTATATAATGGTAAGTCTTCGCAATAGAATAGTACTTCATTATGAGTTGTTTCAAGTGATAAATGACCACTTTGATTGTAAGTATATATTTTTTTTACAATTCTTGTTTAAAATCAATTTTTACACTGAAAGAATGAGGTTCTTGTTCAGAAAAGATTGAATTGGTTCAAAAATTTACTCAAGTGAACCATTTAAATTTGTTAAGTTTTTGACATAAAAATATCATTATCTGACTTTATTATAAAATATTTGACTTCATTATAATAAATAAACGAATGAATAGCTTAACTTTTGATCAGGGTAAAAATTATTATGGATATGTTTTTGTGTCAAGAAAATTTTCTTAATAATAGTATTTTTTTCTTTCAGTGTATAAGAATTGATAGTCATTGAAATTAATTTTCTCATAAATAATTTACTTTTATTTTATTATAGTTATTATGAGACAATTATTTATATTGAACTACTTATATACTTATATAATAAATTTTTGATTTTATAGTTTAACAATGGCTAATTTTAATTCCGGGAAAATTCCAACTGATTTCCCCATGACCAATATTTACAATAATGTCATGGTTTATTTCAAGAAAAACGAATCGAATGAATGCAACGATAACGAACTAGGAACAGGCACCCTTTATGTTACTATAGAGTAAGCTAACACTTTCATAATTTCAATTATTAATTTTTTACTGTCTATTTAAGAATTAATTATTTATAATAATTCAATATTCAAAATTTATTTTATTAGCATGACAGTATGGATCAAAAAAAATGGTGAAGGAAACGGTTCCCCATTCTACTTGAGTGATATTAACGAAGAGTCAAAAAAGGACGATACTATTTTTGCTAAGAGGGTACTAGACAAACTGGATGAGGAGAAGAAGGAAAGGAAAAAGCAGTATAATGAACTCAAAAATGAGTTTAAGAGAGTAGAAGAAAAAAACGCAGAGCTTGAAAGAGAGGTGGAAAAATTCAAAGCGGAAATCGAAGTGAGGTGCTGTGGAAGCAGCATTAACCGGAACGAGTTGGAGAAGAAGGTGGAAGAGAAAGATGAAAATATGGAAAGTGTACTAAATACGCTAAGAAAGGATATAGAAAGCATTGAAGATAAAATGAAGAAAGTGTCCGAAATAACAGGGGAGATTGCGGTAAAAGAGAATAAAATTGACGAGATCGTAAGATGGAAAGAAGATATTGATAAAGAAGAAAAGAAGAATAACTTGATAATTTTCGGATGGGATAGCAGGGGTATTGTAAACAAAGAGCAAGTCTCAAAGTTTTTCACGGAAGAGTTAGGGACAAGTGTCACACCAGAAGACATCGATGAGGTCAAAAGTATAGGAAGAAGTGAGAATAAGATGACTTGGGTTAAAATGAAGACGTTGAAGAACAAAAAGAAGATCTTCGAGAATAGATGGAAGCTAAAGGGGAAAAAAATGTTTATTGAGAATGACAGAACGAAAAAGGAAATAGAAGATCAAAAAGAGCTCGCCAGAAAGGCGTACATAGCCAGGCGAGAAGGAAGAAAGGTTAAAGTGGGATTCCAGAAAATGTGGATAGATGACGAGCTGTGGTTGTGGGACGGAAAAGAGAAACTGCTGAGAAGAACAAGAAAAGGAGATCAGTAAGATGCGAAAATAGTAATGAGAGAGGGAAGGGGGTGGATATAATATTATGGCATTAGCTGGTCTGTTGGGGAAAAACGAGGGATTTTGGGATTTTATTTGGAAGTTTGTTGTGATGTGACTATCGAAAACCTGGATAGAGCAAAAAGGTTTGAATAACTGGAATGAGGGATTACATCGAGAATGGAAGTGGAAGCATAAAACTGGCTAAGAAGTAGAAGAGAAAAGTAAAAGTCGAGGAAGAAATTATTACAAGAGTAAGAAGACAGTCGGCGAAAAAAGAAGTAAAAGAGTGAATAGAGAGGTCCTTATGGAGAAGAGTCAAAATTAAAGATAAATTATGGAGTATAATAACTATTTAATACGGGGATTGAGAAAAGGGAGTGGCTGGAAAAATGCAACAACTAGATGGAGGATAATAAAGAAAGAATAATGCGAGAACATGATGTGAGGGAAGCACGGAAATGATTAATTAAAGAGAAAAAATATAGTCAGAAGGTATTGTTATAAACACTGAAGACAGGAATATACTGGAGCTGTTTATTAAGAGAGGTTGAATCGTTCTCACTGGAAAAAACGGTAAAAATAAGGGAGGTGAATGGACACTATATCGAGGGGAGTATGCAGCTCAATTATCGACTACGGGATTACTATAATACACATTCACAAGAGATCATAAAAATAATAGAGTTCAATATATATTGGAATTTGACTATCAATCATTGATAACAAAACTGGAAGATGAAATATATAAGAAAGTACAAAAAAAAGGAAGAAAAATGGGTACAGAGCTAGAGGGTAAAGATAAGCTGAAATTTGAAAGAACGATTCCAAGATCGAATGGAAGAAGAAGCCAAATCGAGGAAATTGGAGGGAGAATTTGAAAAGTGCCGCATTGGGAGGAAAGCTAACCAAAATCGAATGACAGAGGGCTGGTGGGTTGATGAGTATAAAGGAAGCTTAAAAGAAAACTTAACAAAGACGAGAGGTGGAAAGTACGGCTGCATATGTGCTATTTTTGGATCTAAAAGGTGTTTTTTACAATCTGGTCAAGGAGATATTAATGGAAAAACTGGAGTAGAAGGGGGTCTAATAGAACAAATTAAAAGAATCTATAAGGTGAGACTTCGGAGGTGTGTTGAACGGTATAGGAAGTAAGGCAAGAGTGCCCACTTAGCTCACCTAGGAAGAAGTTAGTTTCACTCTTTGGAATATGCCAAAGACACTGTTGTTATAGCATAGAATGTAGAGAAAATCAGATGAATGATATGAATTTGTCAGCGAAATTTTGGACTAAAGAAGCTACAAATGAGTATAGGAAAAACCACATTGATGAGATGTAGCAATGGAGGAGGAGAGACAGATAAAAAGTAAGAACATTGATATAGAGAAGAAAAAGATAGCAAAAATAAAAGATCTGCTACCTGGAGTATAAATTCATATGAAATAATAGAGAACAATTACCCGACTAGAAACTTCAGTGAGGCAGTGATTCGGCGTAAGTTAGGCATGCCGAATTCCAAACTTGCGCCAAGTGAGGCATCCAAACCAGACTGAAGTTTGGGACGTAACGCAGTTGCAAATTTGGGCCTAACTTGGCTTCCGACTTAGGCAGTGGTTTGGAAACCATACTTGCTGGTGACTTTCTAAACCTTATTCGGTCCGAATTTAGGCAGCAATTTGGAAACCAAATTCGCAAAGAAGAATCTAAATTTAATTATTTCTTCGTTTTTATCTTTTTTATTATAAAGCGAAAATTAATAATAACAAATGCTTATTTTTTTATCTACTTTTACTATTTTAAGTATAAATATTGAAATTAGGACTAAATTTTTCAAATAAACGAATAAAAAAAAATTTATTTTTTTTCTTTTATTTAATATTATTTTTCATTATTTTTTCGGTAACTATTTTTTTTGTTTTTAGCGCTTTTTTTAATGCGAAGAAGTTTTTTTTGATTAGGGAATTTTATAAGTCAAGGAGGAAGGAGTTGATGGAGGAGTTAGATACATTAGTCACACACAACACTTAAATTTACTTCACACTCACCTTAAAAGTAATTATAATTAATAATTATCAATTATTTAAAATATGTCGAACACGAGACTCGAACCTGTACCCGACGCACGAGAGCCCTGTACCATACCGCGACGCTACGCCGATGATGAGCGACCTCTTGCCTCAAGACACTTATAAGCAAGACCAATGTTCGACTTGCCTAATTTAAAACGAATAAGATTCGAATTGGGCTAGCCTAAGTTCGGAAAGCCAAGTTCGCTCCAAACTGATTTTTCGACATGCCTTACTAATGAACTAAAAGGCTTGACCTTAGAAAGATTTGAAGCCAAATATCTTCCCCCACTCCGTTTTAGAGTACTTTGGCAAGAAACGCCGAAGTCCGGCAAACGTTTGGAATGCCTAACTTGCAGGAAATTATAAAATCCAAAGGCTTACAAAAGTTCGGTTTACCAAACTTAAAGGTGACTAGGGACATTTATGGCAAGCCAAACTTCGGCAAATCTTTGGTTATCGTTACTTCCAACTAGTCAATTATTTCTTCGTTTTTATCTTTTTTATTATAAAGCGAAAATTAATAATAACAAATGCTTATTTTTTTATCTACTTTTACTATTTTAAGTATAAATATTGAAATTAGGACTAAATTTTTCAAATAAACGAATAAAAAAAAAATTTATTTTTTTTCTTTTATTTAATATTATTTTTCATTATTTTTTCGGTAACTATTTTTTTTTTGTTTTTAGCGCTTTTTTTAATGCGAAGAAGTTTTTTTTTGATTGGGGGATTTTATAAGTCAAGGAGGAAGGAGTTGATGGAGGAGTTAGATACATTAGTCACACACAACACCAACTGGAGCGAAAGGATTTCCTTAAAAGTAATTATAATTAATAATTATCAATTATTTAAAATGTGTCGAACGCGAGACTTGAACCTGTACCCGACGCACGAGAGCCCTGTACCATACCGCGACGCTACGCCGATGATGAGCGACCTCTTGCCTCAAGACACTTATAAGCAAGACCAATGTTCGACTTGCCTAATTTAAAACGAATAAGATTCGAATTGGGCTAGCCTAAGTTCGGAAAGACAAGTTCGCTCCAAACTGATTTTTCGACATGCCTTACTAATGAACTAAAAGGCTTGACCTTAGAAAGATTTGAAGCCAAATATCTTCCCTCACTCCATTTTAGAGTACTTTGGCAAGAAACGCCGAAGTCCGGCAAACGTTTGGAATGCCTAACTTGTAGGAAATTATAAAATCCAAAGGCTTATGGAAGTTCGGTTTGCCAAACTTAAAAGTAACTAGGGTCATCTATGGTAACACGAAGTTTGGCAAATGTTTGGAATACCTAACTTGCAGGAAATTATAAAATCCAAAGGCTTACAAAAGTTCGGTTTACCAAACTTAAAGGTGACTAGGGACATTTATGGCAAGCCAAACTTCGGCAAATCTTTGGTTATCATTACTTCCAACTAGTCAGGCATTCCAAAGGTTCGCCGAAGTTCGGCTTGCCATAGATGTCCCAAATTACACGCAAATTTGGCATGGCGATCTTCGTTTTGCCTAACGTGGATTTAAGAAGACGTAAATTAGGCTTGCCTAAGTTAACCAAGCCAAACTTGCCCCTCATTAATTTTTCGGTATTCCTCACTACAATTTCTAGTCGGGAAAAGCACGTGTAAAAGAAGGGGCGAGGAAAGAAAAACAGGCAACAAGGAAAATGTGGAGTTTGAGAGGGAAAATAAACAATATTTGAAAGTTTGAATGAATAATGACAGTATTGAATGTCGCAGGATGGTCGCATCCGAAAATACTACTGAAGTCGTACTTGGGAAAGAAAATGAGCAAAACCATTATTAGGGATACAGATAGGAATGCGCTCAGTATCGGAGGAGAGACAGTAAGTCAAAATTTAATAGGAGGTATAAAGAATGAGTTGAAGAAGAACTATCACAATTCTGGGGTGAGACAAATGAGTAGAAGGATAGCGGTAAAACTAAATTGCGGAAGTAAGTATGGATTGTACGGAAATTAATACTTTTTGGGAATAAAGAAAAAAAATGAACGCTTCGCAGGGAGCAGTGAGAAAGTGTTCAAAATTTGGGAAGGAGATGTAAAAAGAAGTCGAGACGGAAGAGGGCCTGAGTGTGTTTATGGGAAAAGAGGCAGTCAGGGTGAAATGGATAAAGGAGTTATCTATTTAAGAGGAGGAGGGAGTGGGTGGAAAAATTGAGAAACATAAAAAGTGTAAAAAGTCAGGGATTTTCTCTTTTAACTTTTTTGAGTTTAAAGAGACTATAAAACCTATACCCAGTCTCTTCATTGGGTTCTGTATCCCATTAGGCAACAGATATTGAATAAAAAAAAAATTTTTTTTAAATCCATATTTAAACTACTTTTATCCTTGGAATAATCTAATAAATTGTTTTTTAAAACATTTCACCGAACATATTCTTCAACTTACAAATTTTAAATAATGTATTTAAAATTAAGGATAAATTGACGGTGTCTTTTATCTAATGGAAATATAACTCGAATCAGTGCCATTGAAAGTTTAATAAATAAAATTCTTACCACCAAAATGAAATTTTGGGATTTTGTCAATACCAAGAGGAATGATGTAAAAATCATTCCATCAGAAATAACTTAGGGAATCATAGAGCGGTAGAAGAAGAAGAAATTGTCAACCTGCTAGCTAAATATTTTGCAAGTGTCTACGAAATGAATGAAGATGATGGTGAGGATGATAATAATGGATATGGTTATATATATGGTTGATGTCAAGAACTTTGAAATAAGCTACGACGACACACTGGAAGGGTTCTTAAAACTCAACGTACGGACATGTTTCCAGTAACATGGAAAACCTCTTTTATCACACTAATTCACAAGTCTGGAGACAGATCGAGAGTTCAAAACTACAGGCCAGTTTGCATACAGTTAGCTATGCCAAAATTATTAGAAAAATTAATTCTCCTTGAGATATCATTCGCAACGAAAAATATAATCAACAGCACGCAGCACGGGCATGTCAAGGGTAGATTTACGGTAACGAATTTATAAAAGCACGTCAACACTATCATAGACGCGTTGAGCAATGGATATGAAGTACACACAATAAACACAGATTTTAGTAAAGCTTTTGACATCATGGATACAACGGAATTAATCACTACCATGGAAGACATGAAAATGCAAAGTAAGGTGCTGAATTGGTCAAGGTCATCCATGGAAGGTAGAAGACCGAAATAAAAATAAACAATATTGTAATATCAGCATATTAAGCGGAACGTGATGTTCTACAAAGTTCACATTTAGGACCCAAATTTTTCATTATTGACACGATTGATATGGTAGAGTTTATTGAGTTGGATCATGACTGCTTCGCTGACGATACCAAAATATACAGAGTGAAAACGACTTAAACAAACTTGTAAAATGGTGTAGGAGAAAAAAATTTACTCATAAATATGAAGAAATGCTGTGTGATGGTGTTCAATAAAGGTGCTGATGCTAAATTAGAGGCTAACTATCACATAAATAATACTCAGTTGGAAAAAATAACAGAAACGAAAGATCGTGGAATTATTGATTCAGTGATGGAATATTGATTCTGTGATAAGAAAAGCTAAAAAAGCTCTGGGATGTATCCCAAGGCTTGGAAAGAATTTCAAACAGATTTCAAGACTTGTACAGCTTTACAACACACTAGTAAGGCCTATTCTAGGATATGGGTCAGTTATTTGGTTACAGACTATTCAGTCCATATTCATAGACTGGAAGCGGTTAAACTAAGTCTCGTGAGACATATCAAATATTTATGGGGATTGCAAGGTTTCACGACTGAAAAGATAAGGCGAAGGATGAAAATCATGACTCTTGAACAGCACAGAAAAGTGATCGTGATTTTCGAACAGCGCAGATGGACTTGTGTTTATTCCAGGACATAATCAACACCAAAATAGACAGTTCGGAAATACTGAACGAAACAAAACTATTGGTGCTTAACTACAAGGATTTTGAGAGAAAAAAAAAATTGCTGGATTTAGCACAAGACATGAAAAGATTTATAACAAGTGGTTCTAGAAACAGGATATTCGCTACAGTGAATGAATATGGAAATGATTTAAATTCTTTTAATAGTAGCTAGGTATAATATACTTTAAAAAAAAAGTAATGTAGTAATAAAAATGTCGAGTGACTTTTAAGAGATGAATTTTGTGTTAAAATATTAAATATACTTAGTCAGATTATAAATGAGCAAATTAATACACTTATATATTATTATTATTATTATTATTATTATTATTATTATTATTATTGTGAACTATTGTAAATTGCAGATGGCGTTAAATAAATAAGTAAACAGAAAAATCCAATGTTGATTCTCTACACTGCTTCATATCATACCTACCTTATTGGCTTTGTAAACCTCCATGCGCATAAAAAGCACATTCAGTAATTAATTTATTAATATACTGGTAAAAAAATTAACTTGACTCAAGAGCCAAAATCTTGAACCAAGAATACAATTTTGAAGAAAATGATTTTCTTTAGTCAAGATAATAAATTCTTGAGTCAAGAAATTATTCTGGATTTAAGTAAATTTTTCTTGTCTCGAGAATTTATTCTCTTGACTCAAGAAAATCATCTTTAAATTTTAGTGATAAGAATTTTATTTATCGATCTTTCGATAATAAAAATTTTATCAATTTTTCACTGTCATTTCATCCTTATATATGTGTTGAACTTCAAATTTTGGGATATTTGTTTAGTTATTAAATAAATAAATAAATATAATCAATTTATTTATTTTAAATATTTGAGAAGATTAGTCTAAACCACTAGATGAGAGAACTAACAATTAGTATGTATGTCACATTGACATGACAAAATAATAATAATATCAATTAATAATATGAATTATTTGAAAAAAAAAACATGAAATTTTCAAACCACGTACAAATTATCAGCAAGAAATAAGTGAATTTCAACGTTATAATTCTTTTGTGTGACAATGATCATTTATAGAAACGATGATCGAAGTACAAATAAGGATTACACTATATTCTTTTTTCTCTCACAAGTCTTTCCTTAGAAAACGTTCCTTGGTTTTTGTAATTTCATAAATTTCTTTTAATCAAATAAAAATTTCAATAATTGATGGGTTATTCATAAATCTACTTCATAACGAAGCGCTTTTTTGAAACTTTTCTTTTTTGATATCGAGAAATTTAATTGCTAAGTTTCCGTTTACTTGTACAAGTGCAACAAAGATAGAATGGTTTATCTAAATGACTGCGTGTATATACTTTATAGAAAAAAAAAAACTTGGGGACAGATCTTTTGAATGTGATAATTACATCTACACACATCAATTATCAGTAATATACTCAATTATCAGTAGTATACTCGATTAGACTAGACTATTAAAACATATGTTACTAGATAATATTCTTAAAATATTCCAGTGATCAACTTTCAATAATTCAGAAAAATAATTACGTTATTTCCATTTTTTTTACGAGCTAGGGATATCAAAATAAAAAAAACGAATACTTTCTATTATAGTAATAAAATCAAATTTTCAACTGTCTGCTATGAAAAGCAATGATTTTCAAAAAATCCGGAAGTTTCGAGTTTCACCCCGATTTTCGAGAGTCGAGTTCTCATCAGATCTCTCCCGTTTTGAGGTCCTAATAGGAAGCTAATCTGACTATTCCTACGATGACGGCAGTATGTCTGTATGTACGCGCGCGCGTGCGTGTGTGTAAATCTCTCGTAATTTTTGAACGGCTTCACCGATTTGAACGAGATTGCCATCGTTTGAAACAGTTCAGCGAAGCTTAGACTTTCTTGTAGGTTTAAGCTGGTTTAGGGTCATAGATTTTGAAAAATTCCAAGAAAACCGAAAAAACAAAATTCTTGAAATTATGTTTTTTTAAAATAATTTTCGATCTGCCTCAACGATCAGTTCAATAACCTAATCAGCTCAGGTTCAAAAAATGACTCAAATGCCGTTTAAAAAAATCAAAATCGATTCATTTGTTCGTGAGATATCGTTGACGAAAAATTTCGAAAAGAGTGTTCTTTCAAATAATATCGAAATTCCTGGTCGGATCATTTTTAATATACTCAGTCAATTATCAGCGCTTAAAAAACTACGTCGAATGCCGCCAAGCTCGAAAAACTCGAAAAAATATAATAGAAGTGTTTTTGAGCTCGAAGAGCTCAAAGCTTCGGAATAGATAATTAATTAATTTCTCGAGCGTTATAAACTTGTACATAGCGGGAAGTTCCAAAGATAGTCTGTAAGTTCAACCGGCGTTTTTCAGATTTTTTATTTTTGTTTTTCTTTAAAAGCTTATAAAAATCAACTATTACATAAAATCACTTATGATAAAAGATCCATAGAGCGTTTTTATCAATTGAAAAGTAGATCATTACTTGAGTCCAGGGGTTCTTTAAAAAAAAATAATTTATTAAATATACTATTTGTAGTTCCATATAACTTTTATCTATATGTATATAATAAAACTCAATTTATATTTATCCCCAATTTTTACTCTAGCTTCTTCAACTGATTTGCATATACCGGATAGCTCAAATGGTAGAGTAGCCGACATGTCTTCGGAAGGTTCTGGGTTCGAATCCCAGTCCGAGCTATCTAATAATTTTTTCTCACATATTCTATACACTCACATTAAGATGATCCTCTCCACAATCCTTTCTCAATCCTTTCCTACCAATTATCCTGTTACGTGAATGTTGGAACGCTTCACGTAATAATTATCCGTAACTCCTATTCTTTCCCGCTTCACAGCATTATTTATATTTGTTAAAAAATGTGGAACGCTTCACGATTTTGCGTGTCATCCTTGCTCATTATTTACATTAACCACCAACGTGATTAGAGCCTGACGAGCTACATAAAATCAAGATAATTATAATTACTTTCTTTAATTGTAATTAGAAAAATAAATAAACGATCTGTATTTCGTACATATACTTATTAAGAAAATAACTTCGGTCATTTTTAACATCTGGCTTATATCACTCACGTCGAAATCGAAACTTTTTTCCTCGCCATTTTTGATCCAGGCTATCAAGCTATAGACAAGTATTGAATATTGTATTTATACAAATAATTGATTCTCTCTAATAAATTAATAAAAAAATTGATGTACATGTTAGCTTACTCTGTAGTAAAGTAGAGTGTACCTATTCCAATATTTGTTATTTCATCGACTTCATTTTTTTTGTAATAATTAATTGAGATATTGTGGTATACAATATAGTCCCTAGATATATCAGTTGGAACTTGCACGGAATGAAAATTAGCCATCGTTGAAAATATAAATTTAGAAAATTTTTTGAGTATATGATTAAAATTAAATTATTTTTTAACTATACGATAGCTAAATAATTTGTTTAATGAAAAATGTATAACTTTTTATGGTTTTTAATCATTTAATTTATCGGGGGTCAATAGAATTTTTACTAGTTTTCATTCGATGTAAATTATAATTAAAATTAAAAAAAAAAAAAGAAAAACAAAAGAAACTAATTGTCTTACTATTAATGTGGTCACTTGTCACTTGAAAATACTGATTGTAAGAAACTATTCTATTGTCAGAAGTTACCATTTAATTACTTGCAGCCATCAACAAAAAAACAAGTAATTAGAAGCGCTCTATTTAGATATCCTAAAAAAATTTGATTCCATACAACAAACATTGAAATTTATTAATAATTAATGTTTTCATCAACAAACATAAATGTGTATTCGATATTTGTTGTATCAATGGATTTAAAATATCAGTTTAAAAGATTTTCAGTTGTTGTTATTATAAAATTTTAATGATTCCTTACAATTATCTCTCATTGAAACTTTTGATGGCACTATTCGTGGTGGTTATCGATTTAACCATAAAATTTTATATATAGTTGTCTTCTTTTAAATCGGTAACAAGAAATAAAACTTCTCTCTCTCTCTTTGATATTTCTATTTGCTATGAGGAAACTGTAATTAATTATCTACTTTACACTATGTCACGTCTGTAAAGCTGTTATTCACTTACCTAGCATCGACCATCAGTATCTATCTCGGTCATTATTCAAGCAACAAAGTTTATTTTTTGGTGTTAAATTTGTTACTAATTAGTTACTTGATTAGATTCCAAGCATTCATTAGTTATGTCGGTCAATGCTGAATTCCATCAATGCTAACTTTACGGACGTCATTATGTCAGTCTGTAAACTAAGCAATAATTTTATCTAAAAATATATCAACAAATCATGATAATTCGCTGATAAGAGTCAATGCTTCCTAAAGCACTGATTTCAAAAATTTAATAACGGAATTATACTCATATGATGTTCTGAACGGTAATTCTAATTTCTAGTACCGTATCAATTTATATTATTTTTTTTCATACTCATTCAAAACCTGAAATTAAATCGTACACATTTTGTATCAATTAGTTTTAATACCCATATTTATGTTATATCTATCAAGTAATATTACAAGTTGGCTGTGCTAAATATTTAATCTCATAAGTAGGTAATTCTAAAGAAGTCATAAATAGATTTATACAACATTTATGTTATATTAAATAATAATGATAATTTCACAATTTCGGAATTTTTTGAACTATAGTAAAGTAAATAAATTGAAAGCAGAAAAAAACGAAACTTGAGAATTCACGCATAAAAAAAATTTTGTTTAATCTTTTATATATGATGAGTAAATAAAAAAAGACCATTTTAAAGTTTATTAGAAATTTATTACTGAGAGTATAACTATCGCTTTATATTATTATTATTATTATTATAAATAATAAACATTGAAAATAATGAGAGTAAAAGTAAATAAAAATAAACTATTTTAATTCGGTTCGGCAGGTAAAATTAAATTGATAATTAAAAAAAAAAACAATTTTTTACATTACTCTCGATTTCTAATTTGATATTAAAACATGAAATCTGATGTTTCATTTAGCAACAGCAAACCCGACACGGTTGTTCTCCATATCAAATTCAGTGTAAAATCGACCGATGAAAACATCTCCAAGAATCCACAAAGGTCCATTTGGTGGTGGAATATCGATACCCATAAATCCACTGATGCAGATTGTTTTACCAAATTGACTTACCTATGACAAAATAATTCAACCATAGTAATTAATATATATTTACATCTATATAAAAGTGATTATTAATTATTTAATATTTATAAAAAAATTTTCAGCTATACCTTGAGTGTGTAATCTTCACCAGACAAAGAGAATTTCCGACCGCCAAAAACGAAATCAATTTTAGGTAGTGAGGGAATCAAACTGCAATTAATCTATTGAAAAAATAGCATTGATTAATTCATGATATTGTTTATTACTTATTATTTTATTAATAGATTAATTAATCTATTTACCACAGCTTCACCACCAGGAAGAGGTAAACTACCGAGTGCTTTGTTAATTGCTTCAATTTCCTTTACTGGACCAGCAATCAAAGAGGTACCAGTGTCTGCAATAGCTTGACAACCGTTTTCACAAACAACTTGGTCTCCAATTTGTATTCTATAATTTTGTCGTGAATTATGGAGATGCAATTTTTTTTACATAATATTAATTTTAGTATTATTATAGAAAGAATAACAAAAACATACTTGTCCATTTTAAATTGCCAATAAGCTTGACGATCAACTGGTACATATGTAAAGTCACCCTCATAATGATCAGGGTCAGATCCACCAAGAATCATCTCACCTCCAAGGTTTGCCTGTGGATCTCTTTAATACATATTTATAATTAAACAACTGAGATAGTTACATTCAGAAGTGATCTTTTTATTTTGAAATTAACTACCTATTCAAGTAGAAGCTGAAAATCTTCTTAGATATTAATCCTTGATCAAACATGTTATTGAAAGGAGGCTTAACACCATCGACAGCTATTCGTTCATAAGCCATACCTAAAATACCATCGAATTTAGCAGCGACAAAAGCCAGTCCCGGTTCACTCATTGCTTCAGCAAATGTTTGATCTTTAATATCTATTCCAGCCAACTATAAAAAATTCAATATTATTAGATCACAATGAAAATATGCTCCCTAGATGGACTATATAAAATATTCAATAAGTTTTCTTACAGTGACAACGTCTGTTGATAAGAATCCAGAGAGACTACCTGATCCATATCTGATAGCGAATTCAGTACCATTTTGTTTGTAAGTTTGTGATTTCTTGCTATCGTATTTATTGTGTAACACTAAAAAAAAAAAAAAAAAATAAAAAAAATAAAAATAAATATAACTAAAGTTAAATTACCATCAACGGCAGTATAGCGTTAATACTAATTTTGGTATCGTGAGCTTTATATATTTAACGACTTACCCGATATAATACCTGGCAAAAAATCTCCTCCATAGTCACGTTTCCCTCATTGTTCCTTAGTAAAACGACAATTCCCCTTTTTGCGCCCTTACACACCTATTTTCGTTCCTTTTATTCACATTTTCTTTTCTTTTTCTCGTTCCTTTATTTTCTTTGTGTCTCCGGGTTTTTCTTCTTCAACCTTTGCCTCGACTCTTGTGTTCACTCGTTATTCATTTGTTCGTTAGCTAAAAAAAAATTGATTGTGGTGCTAGCCTCACGAACAATCCAAACTATTTTTTTGTTTTTCGCTATCGCAAATCGTTCTTTTTTATAAAAAAAATTTTAACTTTAAATTAGCTCAAATTTTCTGTGCTCGACATAACGGATAATCGATTTGTGCTGTGTCGTATAAATTTCCATGTGCGAATGAATGAGAGTTCCTTCCGCCTATTAGTTTTGACAGAAGTAGTAATTTACTTTAGTAATTAATTTTTTTTACTGCAAAAAATTGGAAATAAATTTTTTCGGAACACCGAAAAATTTTTATTTGTAAATATTTATTATATTTGTATTTTGTTTTTAAATTTTGTTGATAAATCCCAACGTAAAAATTAATGAATTATTAAGATTACTTAATTTAATTAAGTGACACTCGAGAATTAAAAAAAAAATAGTCGGTTTTTTTGCGCCACCCTAATATATACTGATAGAAAAATTCGCTTGAATCAAGAGAAAAAATCTCGAACCAAAAAAATCATTTTGAAGTGTTTGATTAAAAAGTTTTTCTGGATTCAACTAAATTTTACTTGGTTAAAAATGATTTCTTTAGTTTAATATTTTTTTCCTTGAATCAAGTTAATTTCTTATCAATGTAGTTTATAATTAATAGTATGACTAATATTTGTATTACTTACAACAAGCTATGTTGGTGAAATGACATTTCTTTGATGGAATCCATAGATTTGATGATCCAGTATCAAAAACAACGTTGAATTTTTGTGGTGGCTTGCCGATCGTGATTTCTCCATAGTATTGAGCGTCCATGTAGTTGGACAGTGGCTCTGGACTTCCATCATAAAAGTTACTGGCATATCTTAGACGTACTTGATGAACCTCTGTTCCCACTGCTTTCAAAGTTGTTCTGACACTTGGAATTTTATGCATAGGAATTCTGTGAAAAATTATTCATTATTGATAGTAATTTTTTAACATGAAAAAAAAAAATACTATATAAACTATTATAAATCATCAATATAAATATCAATATTATACAGCTAAACTTGAGTAAATGTTTTGTAATGAAATTAAAGAGCAGGAAATGTATTCTAAAATCGATTAATTTGATTATAAATATTTTATGTCAGCAAATATACACTTGTACATAAAATTAATTATTTTCAAAACAGTACTGTTAAGTGTATTTATTTAAAAATGATAATCTTTTTATAAAACTGATGATTCCTTACATTATTTAATTCGCATAAATGGAAAATTATGAGTCTGATAAGTTAAGAATGACCCTCTTTAATCAAAACAAAGGTCAACTTTATTAATGCAATACTATGGCAAAGATTTATTTAAATACGCGTATTTCATGATACTTTTTATAAATTATTTTTTAAAAAATAGGAAATTTTTTTCATTAATTGCTAATAGTAAATGTTTATTGAATTTTTATTTAATAGCCAATTTAAAAGAATGGAACAAAAATTACAATGATTATATATTTATTAATAATTCAATTTAGTATGAAAAATGATGATCTTTAAGAAATGAATATTAGCAACAGTATCATAGATCAAAAATATTAAAAATTAGCTTACCTTAATAACGTCGCATTTGATAATGTTAGAATAAAGGCAAGCCATGGCAACAGTCGCCACATTTTAAGAAATTAAAATAATTCGTTACTTATAAAACAGAGATAAATTCTTTTCAGAATTATGATTGATGTAATAATATTATTGAATAATTTGTAGACAGCTCACTGTGTAGCTTGCAACTATAAATGCAGAATGCTGTAGAATGTTATTTTGTCGTGGTTATTATAACGGTTGAAGCGCAAGTACAGTAAATGGTCAAAGTTTTATTTACGTTTTTCGTTGAATCACCGTATGATCATATGACTAGTCACCAACCAACCAACCACGGTATACTATACATTTCAAACGCTTTATCTTCTCATGTTAGTCTTTATTTGTAAAAACTTTTATTTTTATTTTATTTTCTCCGCTGTATTGAAAGTAAAAATAAAAATAAAAAAAATTATGTTTAGAATTATATTTCTCTTTATTAAAAAAAAATTTTTTTATCAAAGTATTTTTTTTTATACAAAAATTTTGTTCATTAAAAAATTTCATGTAGTTTTTTACCTTTATTACACGTTTCATTTTAACTTAAAAATATTTATGAGTAATGACTAATAATATTTTAAGTAGTAGACTTAATATTTTGGTTTTATTACTTTAAAAAAGTAATTATCACATTTAAAAAAAAAAGTGCGTGGAGATACCTAATTCAAAAGGCTATATGTGCAATCGTTTTTAAGTATTATTTAAAATCAATTAGTATAATTCACAAAATAAACAACAAATTTTTGAATACCTGATAGTAATACTAAAATTAACATGCTTTAATAATTTTAAGAGTCTGGAATTAACAGACATTATAATAAAAAAAAATAAAAAAAGAAATTCCACTTGTTAGATATTTTAAAAAATTTTTTCGGTAATAATTTATAAGTATGAAAAATAAAAAACAGTTGTCAGATATTTGCTAATAATTTTAGTTTCTCAATAAGTTTTAGGTGTTTTTTTTTTAATAAAAAAATTATTGTAGAAAATATTTGAAAAAAAGTCGACAAGTAAAAATTAAAAAATAAAAAAAAACTTTAAATGGAATTATTTAAAATATATATAATTTTATAATTAATTTACTTTTTTAAGAAGATCAGAAAGTTGTTTGTCGATTTCGGTATCATATTTGATAATTTAAGTATTATGAAAAGATTAAATCATTTGTTTGAGCATAAGATTTTTGACTTTTTTTGATATACTGTATATAGATAATGTATATGTATAGATATAATATATTATTTTACTTAAAAATATTTAAGATAAAATTGTATAAAAAATTCTTGGTTCGTTGAGAACATCATAAGTATATAAAAAATTTAAAATTTAATTTTACCAAGAGCAATGGTTCCATTTAAATGAAATTCAGCATAAAATTGCATTAAAAATGCACCTCCAATTTCCCAATAACCCAATCCACTAGTGTCCGGTATAAATGGTGATAAACATAACTGCATTCCATAATAAACCAACTAAAACATAAATAATAAAATTAAATGAACAATAATGAAAGTACAATAAGCTTTCTTATAACAGATTAAAGATTAATGGCCCTACGTGCTGAATATAATACTTTGAGTCGATTCTAAATTCAGTTTCAGCTAGAATAAATGAAACGTGTGGTAATTTAGCAAATGATCGACAGTCAACCTGAAAAAATACAATGTAATAATTAAAATAAATCAATATATTTAAATTGAATACATAAAAATTGATGTCTAATTCAAGTGTATGTAACTTTCAAAAATTTACATCAATTTACCATGTATCTGTAAGGCCAAACTTTCATAATTTCTTTTGCACCCAATAAATTATTTATTTTCATTATATCAGCAGGTGGTCCAGATATTGTGTTAACGCTGGTATCAAATATAGCTTTGCATGATGAAGTACAAAATGGAAAAGTTTTGTTTGAGTTATCAATAACAAGTCTAAAATAATATGAATATAACTAAAGGAGATTGTTTAATGATTAAATTAATTAAAATTATACTGCTTAATACCGGTCAATTTTAATCATCCAATATTTTTTAGTAATTACAGGTAACCATGTTAAGCTTCCATTAACTTTATCTCTTTCCATTTCACCAAGAATCAAACTGCCTGCTCTATCAGTAGTTGCATCGCTGAAAAAAAATTCAATAATATTAAATTAATTAGTATCTTTTGATTTTTTGTTTTTTTTTAACACTACCGATTCATATAAAATGTAAAAACTGGTTTTTTAACAATCTTTTGTCCTAGCATGTTGTAAAAAAATGGTTTTTGGCTGCACTCATTCAACGAAGAAAATCCAAGACCGATAATTCCATCAGCTTTTGTCATCAGAAATGGAATTCTAGACATATGAGTCATCTCGATAAATGACTGGCCAACAACTTTGACATGCGAAAGCTAGAATATCAAATATATTATTAAATACTGTCTTATGATTACGCTATTTAATTAACTATATCAAATTTTGCATACATGAAAATCATCAATCGAAACTATGCCTTTCAAGCTTTCAGCTTTGCTTTCAATAACGCACTCAGTTCCATTTTCTTTAAACGTTGATGATTTGGAGCTGTCGTATCGATTATGAATCACTAAAAATTTATTTCATTAGAAACTTTATAAATTTAAACTTTACACATTTTTATATAAAAAATTAAGTTACTGCAAGCAATTTCAAAAAGTCCACAGTGTTGAGATGGTACCCAGGAATCAGACCATGTTGTATCAAAAATGACTTTGAATGTTTGAGCTGGTTTTCCAATACTAATAATCCCATAGTATTCCGCCTAAAATAATAATATCTGTAATTTTGTTTAAAACATTAATTCTCAAGTAAAGTTTTTATAAAATTCATACATTTAAAAATTTATATAAAGAAACAGTCTCATTAGTCCATTTATTTTTTGAAGCATTAATATGATTCGGAAGTTCATGTTTATCATGGGTCTTATCGCTGAATATATCAATTCTAAAGATAAAAATAAAAAAGAAAATTATGTCCTGCTGATCATGATTCATAGAAGATAAAGAAATTATAAATCAAATTTCGACATTAATGTAAAATAATTTTTTATTATAATTAGAATAAAATATTGTTACTTATGTTAGTTAATTAAAATAATTAACTTACACTATTGCCGCATTTATGTAGTTAAAAATAGTTATAATTAATAAGTACTTAATCAAGTTAAACATGATGAATTAAATGTTTTGTTAACTTGTAGGTAATACTTGATCATCTACTCTATTTGAACTTATTTAACTATTATGTTTGAACAAAAATAAAATTTACAAATAATAGCAGATAACTTGGGATTCCTACCAAGCAAAACTTATGAATGCAACTGATTCTCAATTCAATTACATATGAACCCTAGCAGAGAAAGTCTTTGGAGGAAGAGATGTACTTTGTTACCAACTGATGTGAAACGATGGCATCGCATAAAAATATATAAAACGATTATAAAATTTATAAATTTTTCACTAAATTTAAATAATTTATTAAATACTTAGTTATTATTATTATTATAATATAAAAAATGAAAAAAGAACTCAGAATTAGTTTTGAACACTTTTACTAAATTATACAAACTTTAATCTTAATTTATATAAAGTTGAACACAAAAGAAATAATTTATATTATCAAATTTATGATATATTTTTATTACACATTTTTAAACTCCTGTAATATTATAATATTTATTTCAAGTCATGTTATAAGTCAAAAATATTATTAAGTCTGTAATCAAGTTATAGTTGCACATTGCACTGTTATGTTATAATTAATAAAATCAAAAATTTACTTTTTTGTTTTTATGAAAGTTATAATATATAATTGATTAATAAATAGAAAAAATATTATATTCGAAGAAATTATGACTTTTTTTTCTTTTAAAATTTTCTAAGTTTTGAACCTACACATTCCACATTAAACAAGACAAACAACTATAAGTCGAAAATTTGACTGTCAAGGAAAGTCGATATATTTGTTTTTTCTTTTTTTATTCCTCAATACACCGTAGAATATTTTTGGACATTACTAATGAGTCAACATGAAACCTGGTCGTATGAATAAATATAGATATGATTCTACGGTAGATTGAAAATTTCAACTGAATAAAAAAAGAAAAATAAATAAATGTTCATCGGAAGTCAGCGATGCTAGTCTTACACAATTGTTACATAGATATTTGGTATTTTTTTTTTTTTTACCAAATTGTGATACAGGAATGTATTTAGTCAACAGAAAAATAAGTTTTTTTTTGCCGTTAATACCATATAGTTATCTCTGAAAATGCTAAACACAATTTAACATTCTTTTTTTTACTTAATTCGGCAATATCTTTAGCGAGAATCGTATATTCCACAGCACCGCATTAAAATATTTCCGAATTACAAATATAGTACTTATAACATTATTTGCGTACTTATTTCTTATCGTAACAATATAACAGGTTAATGTGCATGGATTTGCATGTAAGAGAGGACGATGATGAAGAACGGTAATATAATACATATTCAGGTGGGATAATATAACACTATTTAACTTAATTAATATGAATAATCCATAAAGGATGAGATTTTTTAATGTAATTTAACTGTTGTGATATATAATGGATAAAGAAAAAAAAATTAACAATGTAATCCTTTCGTCTTCTCCTACTGCACACTGATGATTCTGTTTAAATTTAAATTCACGCTTAGATGGTGATAATGTCCATAGATTACGGTGTACAGATGATGTAAGTGAAATATTAGGCAGCAGTCTTGGAATCACCGTTGCTTTCAGCTTCAACAACAGGTTTGTCTTCAACTTTAGCCTTTTTTTCAGGAGTTACACCATCAGTAGCATCCACGGCTTCTTGGCCAGCAGTGGATTTCCTTTTTATGCAACATACCTCTTCTTCGACTGGTTTTACTGTAATCAAAGTTACAAATAAAATGTTAATTATAAATAATCACCAAAGGCATTGAATATATTTTACTGTAAATTTAATAAAATAAATAAAATTATACCTGGAGAGTCACCATTTTCCGTCGACGCAACTTCTTTCTCATCGGCTTCTTTTTCTTCTGTTGATCCATTTGTTTTGGCATCATTTTCAGCTCCATTTTCAGTTTCCGATGATCTCGAATTTTCATTAACTTCCTCTTCGGTAACCTCCTTTTTCTTTTCTTCCTCCACTACTTTCTTCTCTGGGGAAGCAACAACTTTGGTTTCTCTATAATAATAATAATAATAATAATAATTAAAAAAAAAATTAGTCAGTTTATAAAATAATTATTCATTTATTAATAAAATAACTTCAGCAAACTAAAAATAATGAATGACGTAAATTTTCCAAGAATAATATTCGATAATTATTTCGGTAGTCGTCACAGGTTTTATTTATTTTATTTTTTTTTTTTTTTTTTTATTTAACGATATACTGACATCCCGCCAGACAAAAATTCCGTCTTTGAAGAAAAACATGTGCTGCCCTCTAAGTTAAACAACCTCATCCCCTCTTAGATGCTGACACCGACAAACTCATGGCATTTCAACGCGGTTTACCGCGCTCTTTCTCCTCAGCTCTCTGAATTTCCTTAACTTCATGCATCGTTTCGTTCTTTTTACTCAGTAAAACATAATAAATTTTCCTTATCCTCTACATATGATATTTTACCTAACTAGAATTTACAATAGCAACTAACAGCAGAGAAAAAAAAAATTGAAGACAATTCCGGTGACTACGAAAGCGAGACGCCGGGTACTATGCTAGTGTGTAATGTGTATAGTTGAGTTTACAACAGCCGTAGGATTGTTTGATGCTTCCACAACGTTGGAGAGCCAGTGGATCGATATTCCGGCCGTTCTCTTTTGGAAGTGACGCGCGTACAGTCATTATCAAAAGGCCGGTTTCTGTTTCGCTTGACTGTATGAATTCAACATTTTTATATACTGTATACCGAGGATTGTACTTAGAGTTGAGTTTGTACACGACCTAAATCCAACAATTTACTGTCTACCCGCAGGAGAGTGTTGGTTTAATATATACGTATATAGATAAATTTTATAGCGTAAGCACCTTCAGGTAATCAACTTTCACAATAAATAGGAATACTAATATGACCCGGCGTCTAATATAACCATGATCTCATTTTTGTATAGAATAATAATAATAATAATATTAACAATCATAATGTAGCAAAATCAAATTTATCATCTTTTTCCAATTGATATAATACAAAGTAAAAAATATACGATAAAAATTTTGTTTAAAAAATATCAAGAAGACAATTTGAAAGTTGCGTGGGACGATGACAAAAAATAACTCAAACGGCCGGCGTCCCCTAGCCCTCCTGCTCGAAGTATAATTCGTTACAGCGTCAGACGATGCTACTCAATTTTCAACATCAGTTAGTAAAAAATAAATAAAAATGATTACGGGTAATTGTTAATCTCAATCCAAAGATCATAATAACAACTTTTATTTCTCATCAATTCACTTTTTAAACAATTTATTGATGAGAAAGAAAAGGACGAGATGCGCCGTCAAAACGCGTTTCCCGCTAAATTTTTTTTCAGCCTAAAACAAACGATGATTATAACTATAATAATAATTAAAAATAATTGATCAATAAAGAAAAAATAAAGTAACAATAATATAGGGTTGAACGGCGTTACTATCGTAGCGTGCTTTTTACTCGAGTCGGTTGCCATTTATTATATTTTTTATTAGTTAACTAAATATAGCTGTAATAAACGAATACTTACTTAGTTTCGACATCAGCCATGGTGAATGTTGATTAATTAATCAGGAAGCACTTAGGTACACTTGAAATCCTTGAGATTAAATATATTTTTTGTTATAAAATATACTAGTACGTATAAATTTGTGAACGACACAAGAGAAGCGAAGCACCAGAGAAACACTAATGCTACCAACGCGCAAATGGCTGAGAGACTCGTTCTCAACCACTCTCAAACTCTCCACTCGGCGATTCGCTTCGCTTCAATTCCCCCTCTCTTGATTTACCTAGCCGGCCGGCAGCGGCCTTCAAACAGTTTTCTTTCCCGCTCGTTTACAGATGGCGCTATTACTCATCAATCTTTTACACGTACACACTTGCTTGTGTGCAAGCGTTAACGTTTCTTATACACATAAGCATTTATTGTATTTATATATACGGTTATAAAAATTTAACCCAATTCAATGTTAAATTTTTTATTTTATTCAATCATAAATTGACTACTAGATATTTAAATTTTTAGTTGAAAAAAAATAAACAAGAATTTTATTTGAATTTAACTAATAAAAAATATCTACGTTGGATAGGCGCTTTTTCTTTGAATTTTTTTCATTTATTTGTAGATGTGTATCTCCATAAATACTTAGAAGCCGCTTGTATTATGTAGTGTCGTCAAAGCCGGTAGTAATGCGAGCAGGTCCGTACCTTTAATCTATTTCTCCTTTTTCATTCAAACTTTTTTTACGAACAAACTACGCAAGCATTTTTTTAATTTTATTATAAATATTTTTTTTTTTAATTTCATTAATACAATAAGCTAATAAATTTTCTTTTGTTGATCTAGAAATTTCATACTATGTAGAGCGCATCAAAAAATTTTTTGTATGTATTCTTGATACTTGTGAATAGACTAAAAAATATATATGTAAGTATGAGGATATATATATTTATTCAAAATTGTTCGTGCAATATTTTCAAGATAAAGTATGCAATCTAGGTAGTACATTTAGAATGTTCTAGAACCTTTACGTTTGGCCTCGTTTCCGGCGCATGGATATACTAAAAGGTGCGCAATATCAGGTCTTTTCCATCATATATATATATATATATATATATATGTGTGTATGTATGTATATGTTTTTTTACCAAAATTAATTAATTAATAGCTCGTTAAATTTTTATCATCAATAAATTGAAGATAAAAGTTTGATTGATTCGTTGAAACTTTTTAAACAAGAAAAAAAAAAAACCCATTTAATAATTGATTAATTTAAAAAAGAATCAGAAAAAAATAACGCCGAGCTTCTTTATCAATTTTTTATGAGGGTGTTCTAAATAATCGCATTTTCCATCATAATATTGTGTTTGTAGTATGTTTGTAAGTATTGACGCATGCGTTAGATGAATTTATCTGATGAAATATTTAAAAATTACTGAGAAACAATTTTTTACTTTGCATAAAAATTAATAAAGCACTTGGTTTATTTTAATATATGATTTTTTTATTTACAACATTTATGTGTAATCATTTTGTAGATGGAGATAGAGGTGATGGTTTCATTGAATGACTGAGGGATTTTTTTTCGTTAATGTACTTTTTTTATTTTACGGAGCACGCGCCGGCAGTCATCGTGTAATACACGAGCACGTTTTACTCGAGCGGGAACAGCTGCCGGCGAAACCGTCGCAGGTGAAGATATGCTGGGCAGATGTACCGTTTTTAGGGAAGACCACAAGTCACCACCACAGTTACTCCACTATGAGCTAGTAGTAGTGTTGATTCATCTATTTTAAATAATTACATTTACAATTAATTCGAGTTAGAAATAAGCTTTTTCCAGCCGTTAAAATGTGATAAAAAAAAAATGTTATTAAGTACACCTATGTACATATTAGTCTAATGAGTTTGATAAAAATAATCTAATTCTAAGAAATTTTTAATTTTTGAGAAAATATTTTTTTTAAATTTGAAGTTGAGTTATTTTTTTTTCGTAATGATATATTTATAAATAAAGTTCGGAATATTTCAACCCATGATAATGATATTTAGATTTTTTTTAAACAATCACATTTTTTTTAACTTTATCAACAATAGAAAAATTACAAAAGAAAAAAATTTTTTTAACTGCTAATTTTTCGATTAAATAATATTTGTAGAGAAATGATTCAAATAAATAAAACATTGATGTTTCTTTAAATGCTTTAAAACTAATTAACTAATGTAATTTCGACAATTTTAACGGCAAGTATAAAAGCGTCATAAAATAAAATAACTTTAGAAAAAAAAAAATATTAAAAATGTACATTTTCCTATATTTTATTACCGAAAATACGGAGGATCTCGTATTCCCCACTTCCAAATAATTACCTCAGTATTATTTTGTCAGAAATTTTTTTTTAAATATGGAGAAGCTCTATGACGTTGTTATTGAAAATCGATTTATCCTCGTCGTCATGATGGAAATAATTGAGGTCAAGTGTGGGGAGTAAATTAATACTTGAATAATTATTACTTATTTATTTAATTATTTTTTTTTAATTATTAAGGTGGTTGGACACGACATATAGCTTGTGCTATTGCTTTCCTTTTTGCTCGCTATTGTTGCCTTTCTCATGGATTATCATTAGCTCACTTTTAGTCATGATTATTTTGTGAATAAAAATTTTTTCTATTAAGATATTGACCAAACTTTTCGTCAGAATATTTTTTTTTTTTTTATAATTTACAAGAAGCGATTCATGTAAACAAAAGTTTTTAGTTTTTTACATTTTGCAGATTCGGTGAGACAATTTAAAATAAGAGTGTTTGCCTAAATTTTACTATGAAATGCACGTCAAAAGTTCATATTTTGAATAACTAATTACTCGAAAACTCTATCAGATTTTAGAAAACAAATTATTTTACATATATTTAATAACAACTAACATTTCAAAAATTCAGCCTTTTATTTTTACGTTGCTTTAATGTCCGATCCACCTTAATTGAGTTACATAGTGTATGATAAAAGAAAAATATTTTAATGTCACATATATAAAACGAACCTATTCATATCTATAGAATGGAATAGATAGTGCGTTTTCACAATTTTATTAGCGAAACATATATGAAACCGAACGTTATTTCGACGGTACTAATATATAACTTAACCTACATCTTCGTCTTTTAGTAATAGTATATTTAGCGCATGCGACAAGTTTTTTACTCTTCTTGGCTACTCATCAATTTTTCTTAACTTTCAGTACTTCATTGGAATCGCTTTCAATTTTAAACTTGTATAATACGATAACTCATACAATATCATATTACGACTATGTCACATTGGCTTTTTCTGTGTAGGAATCTGTTACATATGTGACAATTCTCTATCTCTAGTCTCTAGTCTCTAGGAATGTAAATAGTTCATTGATCTACAGTAACGTTTTTTTTTGTTTGAAAAGATGGTCATAAAATATTTTATTAATGTTCTGCTTAGTTATTTTAAATTACACACTTGTAGCTATTTTGGATGTACGTAATTGAAGTACAGAGGAAGTAGAACGAAACTCTGATATACTAGATATACAGGTGGTTCCAAAAGTTTTCATAAGTTTAAAATTTAATCATGTTTCAGATCAATAATTTTAATTATTAATAAACGTCGTTTTTTTTTTTTTTTTTTTTTTTTTAAATAAATCAGTAATCACTTGTTACTTTTATAAACGTGACTATCGTTTGTAATAGTAACGGTTCGTTTTTCTCTATCTAAATTTAATCTTAACCATTTTTACAT